TCGATTTTTGAGCATTCCACATTACGTACTTTAAGTATACAATAAAACTAAAGAAAAATAAACTCCGTGAAATGTTTGGACATAAAACGAAACATAAACGCTTTTACCATAAAACACCTCCCAATCATTTGCTGCTGATTTGCGAATTAACACAGGAAATTAATTCCGAACAATTAAAACGTGCATTTTGTGTTACAAAACACCGTAGTTACGAGACATAAAAATTATGGCATTCTGGCGTGTAGATCAGCCATATCTTTACAAGAATTTACAATGTTTTCTTCGATACGGTTTAATGAGAAATGAGTTCTGTTTTATTGTTATCAATTAATGTAACTGTAACATTGACTCGTGATTATACCAATTAGGTACAGCAAGGAAAGGTTAGATTTATCTAACGTCGAAAAATTCTTGAAGTTCTGTGATTTTAAAACAGATTGAAAGAATCTTGGAGGCACTTTTTCAAGAAAGTTAAAGAATCTCAAGGTCCCTAGGGTCCTTTTCTTAATTTGAAAGAATCTCGAGGCACCTGTGTCTTTTTTTTATCGAATGTGAAACCATTTCAAGGTCCCTTGGGTCTTTGTGTCTTTATTTTTAAGAAAGTGGAAGAATCTCGGGTCCTCTTGGGTCTTTTTTAAAAAATGAGAAAAAATCTTAGAAAAACCTGTTGTCTTTTTAAAAAAGTGGAAGAATCTAGGGGACCAGTCGTGTCTTTATTTTAAGAATGTGAGAGAATCTTGGGGATCCCTTGTATCTTTTTTTTAAGAAAGTGAAAGAATCTCAAGGTCTCTAGAACGTTTTTAAAATGCGAAAGAATCTTGGAAATTCTTTATGCTATTTTGTTTTGAAAGAATGTGAAACCATCTCCAGGTCTTTAAAATCTGTTTTATAGAATGTGAAAGAAGCTTGGATGCTTTTCGGTTTTTGTTTTTGAGGAGTTTGAAACAATCTTGAACGCCTTTGTGTCTTTTTTTCAAGAGAATGACACAATTTTTTAAAGAATCTGAAAAAAATCTTAGTAGCTTTCTTTAAAGAATGTGAAGAAATCTTTAGTGTCATTTGTGTCTTTATTTCTAAGAAAAAGAAAGAATTTCGTGTCTTTTGTATCTTTTTAAAAATTAGAAAAAATCTTGGAGAAACTTTCGATGTTTTTTTAAAAACTAAAAAAATCTTGGGGACCCCTTGTGTCTTTTTTTAAGAAAATGAAAGAATTAGAGGTCTCTACGGTTTTTCTTAAAGAATGCGAAAGAATCTTGGTGAGTCTTTGTATCTTTTTTTAACGAATGTGAAAGAAACTTCGAGGATTTTTGTATTTTGTTTTTGAAGGAGTTTGAAACAATCTTGAAGGCCCTTGTGTCCTTTTTTTTTCAAGAAAGTGAAACAATTTTTTCAAACATCTGAAAAAATCTGGGTCCTTTGTATCTTTTTTTTAAGTAAAAAAATCTCTGCTGTTCTTGTGTCTTTTTACAAATTATAAAAAATCTTTGAGAAACTTCCGGTCTTTTTTTAAAAACTGAAAGAATCTTGGGGACTCCTTGTGTCTTTATTTTTAAGAAAGCGACAGAATGTTTGGTGCTTTTGTGTCTTTTTAAAAATTAGAAAGAATCTCGAAGAAACTGTCTGTCTCTTTTTAAGAATGTGGAAGAATCTTGTGTCTTTTTTTACGAAAATGAAAGAATCTCGAGGTCTTTAGGGTTTTTTTTAAGAATGCGAAAGAATCTTGGGAAATCTTTGTAGCTTTTTTTAAAGAATGCGAAAGAAGCTTGAAGGATTTTATATTTTCTTTTTGAAGAAGTTTGAAACGATCTTGAGGGCTGTTGTGCCCTTTTCTTTCAAGAAAATGAAACCATTTTTTCAAGCATCTGAAAAAATGTGGGAATCCGTAGTTTTTTTTTTAAAGAATGCGAAGGAATCTTTAGGACCGTTTGTGTCTTTAGTTATAAGAAAGCGAAAGAATCTCGGGTCCTTTTATATTTTTTTTAAGTAAAAGAATCTCTGGTGCTCTTGTGTCCTTTTAAAAATTAGAAAGATTCTTAAAGAAACAGTGTGACTTTTTTTAGAAAGTGAAAGAATTTTCAGACACCCCTTATGCCATTTTTTTAAGAAAAGAAAAGAATCTCGAGGTCTCTAGGGTTTTTTTTAAAGAATGCGAAAGAAGCTTGGAGGATTTTTATATTTTATTTTTGAAAGAGTTTGAAACAATCTTCAGGGGTTTTTTTTATCCTTTTTTTTTTCAAGAAAGTGAAACAATTTTTTCAAGCATCTGAAAAAATTTGGTGATCCGTAGTGTCTTTTTCAAAGAATGTGAAGGAATCTTTAGTACCATTTGCATCTTTATTTTTAATAAAGCGAGAGAATCTCTGAGGTCCTTTGTATTTTTTTAAGTCAAAGAATATCTGGTGCTCTTGTGTCTTTTTTTAAGAAACTGAAAGAATCTTGGGGACCCCTGGTCTATTTAAAAAAAAAAAAAGAAAAAATTTCGAGGTCTCTTGGCTTTTTTTAAAGAATGCGAAAGAATCTTGGGGAATCTTTGCATCTTTTATTTTAAAGAATGTGAAAGAAGCTTGAAGGATTTTTGTATTTTTTTTGAAGGACTTTGAAACGATCTTGAGGGTTCTTGTGTGTTTTTTTTTTTCAAGAAAGTGAAAGAATTTTTTCAAACGTTTGAAAAAATCTGGAGTCTGTAGTGTCTTTTTTTAAAGAATCTGAAAGAATCTTTAGGATCTTTTGTGTCTTTGTGTTTAAGAAATTGAATAAAGCTCGGGTCCCCTTCTGTCTTATTTTAAAAAATTTGAAAGAATCTTAGGAGCCCCTTGTGTCCTCTTTAAGAATGTGAAAGAATCTTATGGGCCCCTTGTGTAATTTTTTTAATTTGAAAGAATATCGAGGCACCAAGTACCTTTTTTTAAAAAAATTGAAACTGTCGCAAGGTCCCTAGGGCTTTTTTTTATAGAAAGTGAAAGAACTTCGGACACTCTAGTGTTTTGTTTTTGAAAGAGTTTGAAAGAATTTTTGGAGCTCTTTGTGAAAGAATCTTTAGGACCCTTTCTGTCTTTATTTTTAAGAAAGTGAAATAATCTAGGGGCCCCTTTTGTGTGTTTTTTTTAAGTGAAATAATCTCCGGGACCCCTTGTGTCTTTTTTTTACAAATGTGGAAGAATCTCTGGTGCTCTTGTGTCTTTTTAAAAATTAGAAAGAATCTTAGAGAAACATTCTGTCTTTTTTTAAGAAAGTGAAAGAATCTTGGGGACCCCTGGTCTATTAAAAAAAAAGAAAAAATCTCGAGGTCTCTTGGTTTTTTTTTTTTAAAGAATGCGAAAGAATCTTGGGTAATCTTTGCATCTTTTATTTTAAAGAATGTGAAAGAAGCTTGAAGGATTTTTGTATTTTTTTTTTTAAGGATTTTGAAACGATCTTGAGGGTTCTTGTGTGTTTTTTTTTTCAAGAAAGTGAAACAATTTTTTCAAACGTTTGAAAAAATCTGGAGTCTGTAGTGTCTTTTTTTAAAGAATCTGAAAGAATCTTTAGGATCTTTTGTGTCTTTGTGTTTAAGAAATTGAATAAAGCTCGGGTCCCCTTCTGTCTTATTTTAAAAAATTTGAAAGAATCTTAGGAGCCCCTTGTGTCCTCTTTAAGAATGTGAAAGAATCTTATGGGCCCCTTGTGTAATTTTTTTAATTTGAAAGAATATCGAGGCACCAAGTACCTTTTTTTAAAAAAATTGAAACTGTCGCAAGGTCCCTAGGGCTTTTTTTTATAGAAAGTGAAAGAACTTCGGACACTCTGGTGTTTTGTTTTTGAAAGAGTTTGAAAGAATTTTTGGAGCTCTTTGTGAAAGAATCTTTAGGACCCTTGCTGTCTTTATTTTTAAGAAAGCGAAATAATCTAGGGGCCCCTTTTGTGTGTTTTTTTTTTAAGTGAAATCATCTAGGGGACCCCTTCTGTCTTTTACAAATGTGGAACAATCTCTTGTGCTCTTGTGTCTTTTTGTGAAAAAAGCTTGGAAACTCTTTGTGTTTCGTTTTTGGAAGAGTCTGAAATAGTCTTGGGGACTCCTTGTGTATTTTTTAAGAATGTTAAAGAATCACGAGGAGACCTTGTTTTTTTTAAGAAACCTCGTGTCTGTTAATAAAATGCCCAAGGATTTTGGAGATTCTTTGTTTTTTTAAGGACTTGAAACCATCTCACAGTCCCAAGGGTCTTTTTTTGATAATGGAAAAAATCTGGAAGCTCTTTAATATGTAATGTGAAAAAATCTCAACAAAACAAAAATTGGCAAAATCAAATTTTACAACTGATCTAAAAAACCAAACTTATTTTGCCCGTCTGCAGGGATGAGGTAACTCCTGTCCAAATAACGTCAGACCACTTTATTTCTATCGAAGAAATTGGTCCACTAATTCAGACACTATATCTAGCCACGAAAGGAGAACGATTTCAACACAAACATGCGTCACGTGTCGAATTAAAATGATCTATGTTGATGACTGCGGTGTTGAGGTAACAGTAGCTGCTCAAACAAAACCCAGTAATGTCAATGCCGCCAACTATTCATTGCAAGAGCGGTTGTTGACTTCGTCTGCACCAAAAATCCCCAATTTCGGCCCAAATTCCCCAAAAGCGCGCTCTTCGCATTCAATAACACCCAATGCTGTAATCACGCTATCGTAACTCCCTCAATTATCAGTAATCGCCCGAGCAATTAATTTGCAGTTAATTAAAAACAGACACGAATAAAACGCTCATTGTTAGGAGTTTTAATAACATTTAATGCAGAGATCTTTTTTCTTCGCGGCAGCGGCTGCATTGTTGGGTAATTCATTAACGATGCCGTTTTCCTTGAATTTGAATTCTACGGAGTTAATTCGCAATAGTTACTCAACGAAAACTAATAGACACACTTTGGTGGTGGTTAAGGTTAGATATTTACAGCCATAAATCACAAAGTCGAGCGACACGTCCCGATTTCGGAAAGATCTGAGTTGAGATTTTGGTTTCAGGATAGCGCTGGCTATACCCAGAGGACCGGACGGAAGCCTGGAAAGGTGCCAAATGTACGACGTCAACTTCACCGACGTGGTGAAGAACCGCGTTCCTTTGAACACGTCCTGGCCGAAGACTCCCTGCAGGAGTGGCTGGGAGTACAACTACACGGAAGTTCCTTACGCGTCGATCGCCACAGAAGTAAGAAAATTAGTGAAAAAGCTATTAACAGCGCATAAATCAGGTTTTAGTTTGAAATAATAGGCACAACATAAATTGGCGTGTAATAGTTATTAATTGCCGCAATAATTTACCTCTGACGTTAATACGAAATAGTGATTACGAGACTAATTTTTTGAATTTGTCAAGTTTTTCGATTTGAAAATTCATTCATGCTTTACCGAGCCGCACGAATTGATGTTTGCGTGTCGATCGTTGGCTTTAGTAAATTAGTTTTAATTTTGACCGACAGGAAAGTCGAAATTATCAATTTTCGGCAACAAGGTTATTTTTTATTGAAGAAATTGGGTATTTTAAAGGAGGTATTGCTCGGTAAGTGGCGATAAATTTCGCAGTTGAGCTATAATTGTAGGCAAGATATGACAATGCACGATATTGTTGTGCGATTGAATGATTTATGATTCGTAAGATGGAAGGATTTTAGAAATGTTCAAAAGGCAAGGTCGCGGTGAAATTATTGCTCGGAATCAGTTGTTTCCTGTTTTTGTGGCAAAAATATTTCATTATTTTGTTTCCTTCGTTTTGAATTAAATGTATTTTTAGAAAATTGTTTAAAATTGAACGATTTTTTTTTTTGAAATCTTTGCAAATTCGAAAAATTTCTACATTTCCATGGCTGCTAGAACTCGGAAAACAAATTGAGAATGTACAAGAGATTTCTGATTTTTAGAATTTCTAGCACATACCTCTCACAAATTTTCTATTTTTCTAAAATTTTTAAAAATTCTCATATTTTTAATACTTTTAATGAGGGTTCTAGGCGTTTAAAAATTTGCTAGATTTTTTTTAAAGACTTCAGTAAATCCAGAAATCCATTTGATTTTGTTTTTATTTTAAAACAATCTTGGGGCCCTTGGTGTCTTTTTTTAATATTTACAATCTTCTTACACATTTAGAGCTTTTACGTATTTTACAGTAGCTAAATTTGTTAAGGTCTTTGATATTTCTAAAAATTTTAAACTTTGTACAAGGATTTTACGATTTCTGGAATTTCCAGGACATATTCTTTTCAAGGATTTTTTATTTTCTTAAAATTTTTGAAAATCCTCACATTTTCAAGACTTGTAAAAAGGCACCTAGAAGTTTAGAAATTTGCTAGATAGAACCAAACTGAATACATTTTCTTGTAGATTTCGAGCCCTAGAACTCACTTCCGGCCTCGATTCTTTGATAGCTGCAGCCGTTTCTCCAGAATCGACGGTTGAAATATCGAAATTTTTGAAATTTTGAAAAATTCGCATTTCGTACCGATTCTTTCGAAAATGTCGCTCACGACCATCAACAGGTTATATTTTTGGAATCGGCACGTCGGGATCTACGCCCCTGAATTTTTTCATAGATTTTAGACGACTTTTTCAAAATTGAAATTTTTCCAATGGTCCCCCCTTGTAATTTCCTTACGATTTTAACCATCACGTTTTTTTTTTAAACTTCTGTAAGTTCAGAAATCCATCTTGATTTTTTTAAACAACCAAATCTGTGTTTTCAGAAATTTTCTGATTTATATAAAAAAAATGGAACCCCTAGAGCCTTTTTTTTGTATTCAGTAATTTTTAAGATCTTTAGTTTATTGGCGTATTCTACACTACTTAAATTTGCTAAGGTCTTTGATATTTCTAAAAATTCGAAGATCTGTACAAGGATTTTATGATTTTTAGAATTTCTGACACAAACTTTTCAAGGATTTTCTATTTTTCCAAAATTTTTGAAAATTCTCATTCTTTTAAGACTACTGATGGGGCTTTTAAAAGTTTAAAAATTTAATACATTTTTAATATCTTTGCGATTTTAACCGTCATTTTTTTAAAACTAAAGTAAAGTCAGAAATATAGTTCGATTTTTAAAATATTCAAATCTCAGTAGTTTCAGAACTTTTCTGATTTTAAAATAATCTTGGAGCCCTTAGAGTTTTTTTTATAATACGTATTCTACAGTATGTAAATTTGCTAAGGTCTTCGATATTTCAAAAAAATTTTAAAATTTATTCGAGGATTTTATGATTTTTAGAATTTCCGGCACATACCTGTCAATGATTTTCTATTTTTCTAAAATTTTTGAAAATTCTCAACTTTTTAAGAGTTCTTTTCAGACGTTTAAAAATTTGCTACAATTTTAATATGTTTACTATTTTAACCGTCACTTTTTTTTCAACTTCAGTAGGATCAGAAATACATTTTTATTTTTTAAAATATCCAAGTCTCGGTTCCGAAACTTTTCTGGCTTAAAAAAAATCTTTGAGCTCTTAGGGTCTCTTTTTTTTAATATTTATCAAGTTTTTACATATTTTAAACTTTTGCTGATCCCAGAATATCTAAATTTGCTAAGGTCTTTGATATTTCTAAAAATTCGAAGTTTTGTACAAGGATTTTATGATTTTTAGAATTTCTGGCAAACAGCTTTCAAGGATTTTCTATTTTTCCAAAATTTTTGAAAATTCTCATTGTTTTAAATCCTCTGATGAGGCTTCTACAAGTTTAAAAATTGAATAAATTTTTAGTATCTTTGCGATTTTAACCGTCACTTTTTTTAAAACTAAAGTAAGTTCAGAAATCTAGTTCGATTTTTTTAAATATCCAAATCTCAGTAGTTTCAGAACTTTTTTGATTTTAAAATAATCTTGGAGCCCCTAGAGATTTTTTTTAGTATTTAGCAATGTTAAACATATTTAGAATTTCTACGTATCTAAATTTGCTGCGGTCTTTGACATTTCAAAAAAATTCTAAAATTTATTCGAGGATTTTATGATTTTTAGAATTTTCGGCACACACTGTCAATGATTTTTTGCTTTTCTAAAATTTTTGAAAATTCTCATATTGTTAAGAGTTCTTTTGAGGGTTCTAGAAGTTTAAAAATTTGCTAGTTTTTTGATATCTTCACGACTTTAACAGTCACTTTTTTTAAACTTCAGTAGGATCAGAAATGCATTTTCATTCTTTAGATATCCACGTTTCAGTAGTTCCGAAATTTTTCTGATTTACAAAAAATATTGGAGCCCTTAGTGTCTTTTTTTTTTAATATTTAGCAATTTTTGACATATTTAGAACTTTTGCGGATTCTAGGATTAGAATATTTGCTAAGGTTTTTGATATTTCTAGAAATTCGAAGGATTTTATGATTTTTAGAATTTCTGACACAAGCTTTTCAAGAATTTTCTATTTCTGAAAATTCTCATTCTTTTAAAACTTCTGAAGAGGCTTCTAGAGGTTTAAAAACTTATTTTTTAGTAGTTTGAGAACGTCTCTGATTTTAAAATAATCTTAGAGCCCTTAGACTTGTTTTAATGCCTAGCAATTATAAACATGTTTAGAATTTCTACGTATCTAAATTTGCTAAGATCTTTGACATTTCAAAAAAATTCTAAAATTTATACAAGGATTTTATGATTTTCTCTTTTCCTAAAATTTTTGAAAATTCTCATCTTTTAAGAGTTTTTATTTTAAAAACTTCAGTAAGATCAAAAATCCATCTTGATTTTTTAAAATATCCAAATTTCCGTGTTTCCGGAACTTTTCTGATTTTAAATGAATCTTGGAGCCCTTAGTGTCTCTTTTTCGAATATTTAGCAATTTTTAACATGTTTAGAAATTTTACGTCGTCTACATTAGCTAAATGTTCTAAGTTCTTTGATATTTCAAAAAATTCTAAGCTTTGTACGAGGATTTTATGATTTTTGGAATTTCCGGTACATGCCTTCTATTTTGCTAAAATGCATATTTTAAAACTGTCGTATTTTTAAGACTTCTAATGAGGCTCCTAGAAATTGAAAAATTTGCTGAATTTTTAAATTCTTTGCGATTTTCACCGTCACCTTTTTTTAAAAGTTCAGTAAGTTCAGAAATCCATCTTGATTTTTTAAAGCACACAAGTGTCTCAGTAGTTCCTGAACATTTCTTATTTTAAAAGAATCTTGGCGCCCTTAATGCCTTTTTTAATTCGAACAATTTTTTAGTAAGCAATATATTAAGAGGGAGTTTGGGTGGGTGGGCGGGGCATATCTTTACTCTTTCTCTATGTGCAAAATTCTATTCGTAGCCAGTAATTATATAGTGCGGATTCTGGGTCACTTTTTAGCGAAAAATCTTGAATTCAATGGCATATTCAAGCAGCAATTTCGTGCTCTACCTATTTTACTGCTTTACCTTAAGTTTACTCTAATATTAGTAATTTTGCTATTGTTAGACACAATTCTAACATTTCGAATAAGTTTAGTGCCTCCAATTGTTGGAATTTGTGTTCAGCAAGCCCCAGTTTAGATGAAGAATTGGAGACTTTTTAAGAGATTTTTTCTTCTCAAAAAATCTTCTAAAATATAATCTGCTAAATTACATATTCTAAATGTAGAATGTAAAAGAAAAACTTAAACGCATTATTTCTGGCAGATACCTTTCATGGATTTTCTATTTTTCTAAAATTTTTAAAAATTCCACGTTTTTCCTCGATTTCTAAACCGTAAATTTTGTGACCTTTTTCTAAGAATTAGAGATTTTTAAATGCAGTTAATTTTAAATGAAACTCCTAACCCATTTCCAGCAAAACTGGGTCTGCGAGAACTCGGCCCTCCCCCACACCGCCACCTCCATCTTCTTCTGCGGCGCCATCCTCGGCGGCCTGGTCTTCGGCTGGATCGCCGATCGCTTCGGCCGCATCCCGGCCCTCGTGGGCACCAACCTCGTGGGCTTCGTCGGCGGCATCGCCACGGCCTTCTGCAGCACCTTCGGCACCTTCTGCGTGTGCCGCTTCCTCGTGGGAATGGCTTTCGACAACTGCTTCACCATGATGTACATTCTGGGTGAGTCACCGCCGCAAAAACGAATGACACCGTTTTAATTACTTGCAAATGGCCAGATTAGATCACTAATTATAAACGTCAAAAAAATTAACTAATTAGATTATAACTGAAAAAAGAACAAACCGTGTTCGAATCATTAACCATAAAATTGGCCATTGTAATGGAATCATTCACGGGAATTACATGGTCGCTGGCTGGATTTTGAAGCAACCGCAAGATTTGATGGGTGTTTGCGTTGTGTCTTCGGTTTTTTGGGGTGGAAGCCGCGTTTAACGACACATTGAAGAGTCCTTGTGGGAGTAATCGAGGAAGTTGGTTTTGCTTAATTATTTACCATACTTGTAGATATTAATTACGTGGCCCTACCGCCTCTCATTTTTTTTAGTTTGTTGTAAAATCCTTCCGATTAAAGGTCGACTCTAATAAGTGGTAGAGCAAGCACACTTTGCCTCCTGGCTGGGATTAATCATGTAAAGGATATATCGTTTTTTCACACTAATTATACGTTAAATTAAGCGGAAGCAAGGAAAGTGGTGATTAAGTGAACGTAAACAAAATTGGAAGCTTTAGCTACCGGTTCAATGTCGAGGCAATTTTGGAAAACATCGTCTGATTTTAAGAATTCGAAAACGCGTCACAACAAGCATTAAGTCATCTGGTTAAATACCAAAGTGACTGAATAATGTAACTTAAATCCCCTCAAGCAACTAAAAATCCTCAATAACTCGACTCGATTGACACACGCCAATCAATCCGCAATTAATAGTCGATCAATCATCAGATTGCAAAACTTAGCGCTATTTATCTTGCAGTACTGGAATACGTGGGCCCCAAATGGAGAACCTTCGTCGCAAACATGTCAATCGCAATTTTCTTCACGTTTGCCGCTTCGATTTTACCATGGATCGCCTACTATCTAGCAGACTGGAGGCTTCTGTGTTACGCGACTTCGGCCCCCTTGCTTTTGGCCATCATCACACCCTGGATGGTACCAGAGTCGGCAAGGTACGGTATCGACCATTTAGCATCGTGGACGAAGAGAGAGTTGCTTCGAAGGTTACGTAGTTAAAGTATTCGTAGAAAGGCGAATTCGGTTTTTACGGCTGCATTTTTTACGTTTCGTGTGGAGTACCTTGAAAGTTTTCAATAATGTACGCGTTTTGCAAAAAAATAGAAAAGTATTAGAAGACTGAGCATAAATTTTACCGTTTCCGCTTGGATATCGGTTGGTGTTCAACGATAATTGGATTAAATTACACAACTAATTAAACGTAAATTTTGAATGTTAATGTGATGATTTTTGTCTATCGAACAACTATGTATTACGCAAGATTTAATTAAATCCGGACCTAGATCTCTTTTACAATTTTGTTTAAACCTTAATTGGTTTCAGGTGGCTGGTGTCTCAAGGAAAATTCGACAAAGCCATCGGAATCTTGAAAAAATTCCAAAGAATTAATAGGACCAAAGTGGAAGAGGAAACCTACTCGAAATTTAAAGTGAGTACTGGTCTTAGTAAGTTTCTCGTTTGACCGATTTTTTTCCAGGCCAGCTGTCTCAAAACCCAGAAGGAGGAAGAAATGGACAAGGCGTACACGGTTTTGGACTTGTTCAAGACGCCACGGTTGCGCAAAATCACTATTTTGTTGATAGTGATGTGGATGGCCATCTCGTTGGTGTTTGATGGACATGTTCGAAACGTCGGCTCTCTAGGACTCGACATCTTCCTGACTTTTACCATCGCCAGTGCCACGGAATTCCCGGCTGACACGTTCTTGACCATGGTGTTGGACGTGTGGGGCAGGAGATGGTTGGCTTGTGGGTCCATGGTTCTCAGCGGGATTTTCAGCCTTCTTGCCACGACAGTACCATATGGTATTTTTTCTCGTTTTTGTTATTATATTTTACTTCACTGAGCGTTTCATAATTCCAATAGTACGAAAAAGTAGGTCTTCCGTTTCCGTCTGTCGAATTTTTTGTTTCTTCTATTTTTCCGTTGTCTAGTTTTTGAATTTTGAGATTTTTAAATATTTCTGTTTGTTTTTTCGATTTTTCAAGTTTTTAATTTTAAATTTTCTTCAACTTGTATATATGTATTTTAATTTTTCGTTTTTTTCTATTTTTTAGTTTCTCGGTTTATCGATTTTTTAATACATTTTTTAATTTTTAAATTTTTCCATTTTTAATTTTGCCATTTTTCAATTTTTTAAATCACTACTTTGTGCTAGGTATTTGAAATTGATTGGATTTTCATTGTTCAAAATAATTTTGATTTTTTTTTTATTCTATCCATAAATTTCTTCATTTTATAACATTACAAAAAACTGAAAAATTGTTTAGGATGAGAATAAATGGATATTTTATTTTGTAAGTAAACGTCATTTTTTGTGATTTTTCTCGAACTTAGACTTGTGAATTTAATCGTGTATCGTTGAGTTGGTGCCCCCTTTTTTGAAGAGTCTGTATGGATATTTTTTTTTATTTTTTTATTTTTCGTTTTTCAGTTTTTTGTCTGATTTTTCAAGTTTTTGATTTAAAATTTTTCGTTTTTACATTTTTTGAATTTTTCAATTTTTCAGTTACTATATTTTTCAATTGTAATTACATAGATATTTAATTTTTTCAATTTTTTTTTTCGAATTTTTATTGTCTTGATTTTTATTTAACTTTCCAGCTTTTAGTTTTATTTTTCGTTTCTTCAATTTTACAATTATTTTTCAATTTTTCTATCATAAGATTTTTTAATTTTTCTATTTTTCGATTTTACGATTTGAGTTTTTCGATTGGTTCCAATACTCAATTTTTCATTTTTTTTTTTTTCATTTTTCAATAAGTAGATTTTTAATTTTTTCCGGTTATTTTCAAATATTCATTTTTCGATTATTTTGTGTTTCTACTTTTATTTCGCAATTTTTTGATCAGTTTTTGGGTTTCTTCAGTTTTTCGTTTACAGTTTTTTGTTTTAAATTTATCAATTTTTCGAATTTTCAGATTTTAAATTTTTCAATTTTTATCTTTAAATTTTTCATTTGCTCGATTTTGAATTTTTCAATTTGCGGTTTTTCTAATTTTCGAGATTGAATTTTAAATTTTTCGATTTCTCAACTTTGAATTTTCGATTTTTAAACTTATTATTTCTTCAATTCTACGATTATTTTTCGATTTGTCAATATGAGATATTTCAGTTTTTCGATTTTTAATTTTATCAATTTTCAATTAGACTTTAATTTTCAAATTTTCGATTCCATGATTTGAGTTTATCAATTTTTTGTTGTCTGAATTTTCAGATTTTTCGTTTTTCGAATTTTTATTTCATCATTTTTTCGGTTTTTCCACTTGGATATTTTATTTTTGTTTTTTGAATTTTTCAGTTTCTGGGTTCATAATTTTTCAATTTTTCGATTTTTCAGTTTTTAAATTTTGGCTTTTTTCGAATTTTGAATCACTATACATATTTTTAAATTTTTCAATTTTTCGATTTTGCGATGTCCGAAATTTGCGAGTTTTTAATTTCAAATTTTTCATTTTTACATATTTAGACGTTTTCAATTTTTCTTGTTACTATATTTTTCAATAATTAGATATTTAATTTTTTCGATTTTCCCAATTTTTTTTTTTAATATTACATTTTTTTGATTTTTTATTGTTTCGATTTTTATTTAACTTTTCGGCTTTTAGTTTTATCACTTCAATTTTTCTATTTGAAATTTTACTAGTTTTGGAATTTTCAACTTTTGATTTTTAAATTTTTCGTTTCTTCAGTTTTACAATTAATTTTCAATTTTCCAATCATAAGATCTTTTAATTTTTCTGTTCGATTTTACGATTCGAGTTTTCGATTTTTTCGTACATTCAATTTTTGAATTTTTTTTCTTTCGTTTTTTGATTTTCCATTTTTACGGTTATTTTCAAATATTCATTTTTCGATTATTTAGTGTTTCCATTTTCATTACGCAATTTTTCGAATTTTTGGTTTTCGTTTTTCGTTTTACAGATTTTGGAGTATCAAATTTATCAATTTTTCGAATTTTCAGATCCTAGACTGTTCGATTTTTCATCTTTTAATGTTTCATTTGCTCAGTTTTGAATTTTTCACTTTTTCCATTTTTAACGTTTGAATTTTTGATTTTTAAATTTATCGTTTTTTCTATTTTTCAATATGAGATTTATTAGTTTTTCAATTTTTAATTTTGCCAATTTTCAATCAGATTTTTTTAGTCTTCAATTTTTCGGCTTCACGATTTGAGTTTTTCGATTTTTTCAGGCATTCAATTTTTCGATTTCTTTTAATTCATAGTTTTTCGATTTTTTAACTTATGATTTTTCAGTCATTAGATTTTTTATTTTTTGGACTTGTAATTTCGCGATTTTTGCTTAGACTTTTTAGTATTTAATTTTTCGATTTTACGAAATGAATATTCAATTTTTCGTTTTTTCCAGATTTTTTAGTTTTTTGTTTCTTAAATTTCTGGAGTTTTTTCATTTCCAACTTTCATGTTTTATTTGTTTTTTCAATTTTCCAGTTTGTCAATTTTTTAATTTTCAAATTCTTCGTTTCTTCAATGGATTTTAAATTTTTCATTTTTTTTTTCATTTAGTGTCGATTTTTATTTTGCAATTTTTCGATTTTTAGTTTATTGTTCCTTCAATTTTTCGATTTGCTATTTTTTAAATTACAAATTTTTCAGTTTTGCCGATCTTCAACTTTTACATCTTTCAGTTTCTCGATTTTTTATTTTTCTATTTGCAATTTTTCCAGATTTCAGTATTAAATTTTTCAATTTTTCGATTTCTCAATTAGTCAATTTTTCGATTTTTTGGTTTTTTGGTTTCTTCAGTTTTTCGTTTTACAGATTTTTGAGTTTTAAATTCACCAAATTTTCGAATTTTCAGATCCTCGACTTTTCGATTTTTCATCTTTAAATTTTTCATTTGCTCAGTTTTGAATTTTTCGTTTGAATTTTACCAATTTTCAATTATATTTTTTTTTCAGAGATTCAGTTTTTCGATTTCTTTTGTTTTCTGAATTTTCAGATTTTTCTGTGTTCAGTTTTTAGTTTTTAATTCATAATTTTTCCATTTTTGAACTTGGATATTTGATTTTTTTTCAATTTTTCAGTTTCTCTGTTTTCCGATTTTTTAACTTTTGATTTTTCATCATTGGATTTTTTAATTTTTCAACTGGTAATATCGCGATTTGTCGCTTATATTTTTTTATTTTTAATTTTTCTATTTTACGAAGTAAACATTCAATTTTTCTTTTTTTTCTCGATTTTTAAATTCTTCGTTTCTTCAATTTATTTCAAATTTTTAATTTTTTCAAATTTTTTTCATTTAGTGTTTTTTTCGATTTTGAGTTTTTTGTTCCTTCAGTTTTTGGATTTTTTTATTTTTTAAATTACAAATTTTTCAGTTTTTCGGATTTTCAACTTCTACATCTTCCAGTTTCTCGATTTTTAATTTTTCTATTTGCAATTTTTCCAGATTTCAGTATTCAATTTTTCGATTTTTCAGCTTTTGAATTTTTGGCTTTTTTCGATTTTTGATTTACTATATTTTAAAATTTTTCAATTTTTCGATTTTGCGATGCCCGAAATTTTCGAGTTTTCAATTTAAAATTTGTCATTTTTACATATTCAGACGTTTTCTATTTTTCTTGTTACTATATTTTTCAATAATTAGATATTTAATTTTTTCGATTTTCCCAATTTTTTTTTTAATATTACATTTTTTTGATTTTTTATTGTTTCGATTTTTATTTAACTTTTCGGCTTTTAGTTTTATCACTTCAATTTTTCTATTTGAAATTTTACTAGTTTTGGAATTTTCAACTTTTGATTTTTAAATTTTTCGTTTCTTCAGTTTTACAATTATTTTTCAATTTTCCAATCATAAGATCTTTTAATTTTTCTGTTCGATTTTACGATTCGAGTTTTCGATTTTTTCGTACATTCAATTTATGAATTTTTTTTTCGTTTTTTAATTTTCCATTTTTCCGGTTATTTTCAAATATTCATTTTTCGATTATTTAGTGTTTCCATTTTCATTACGCAATTTTTCGAATTTTTGGTTTTCGTTTTTCGTTTTACAGATTTTGGAGTATCAAATTTATCAATTTTTCGAATTTTCAGATCCTAGACTGTTCGATTTTTCATCTTTTAATGTTTCATTTGCTCAGTTTTGAATTTTTCACTTTTTTCATTTTTAACGTTTGAATTTTTGATTTTTAAATTTATCGTTTTTTCTATTTTTCAATATGAGATTTTTTAGTTTTTCAATTTTTAATTTTGCCAGTTTTCAATCAGATTTTTTTAGTCTTCAATTTTTCGGCTTCACGATTTGAGTTTTTCGATTTTTTCAGGCATTCAATTTTTCGATTTCTTTTGGTTTCTGAATTTTCGGATTTTTCTTCAGTTTTTCGAGTTTTTTAATTCAGAGTTTTTCGATTTTTTAACTTATGATTTTTCAGTCATTAGATTTTTTATTTTTTGGACTTGTAATTTCGCGATTTTTGCTTAGACTTTTTAGTATTTAATTTTTCGATTTTACGAAATGAATATTCAATTTTTCGTTTTTTCCAGATTTTTTAGTTTTTTGTTTCTTAAATTTCTGGAGTTTTTTCATTTCCAACTTTCATGTTTTATTTGTTTTTTCAATTTTCCAGTTTGTCAATTTTTTAATTTTTAAATTCTTCGTTTCTTCAATGTATTTTAAATTTTTCTTTTTTTTTTTCATTTAGTGTCGAATTTTATTTTGCAATTTTTCGATTTTTAGTTTATTGTTCCTTCAATTTTTCGATTTGCTATTTTTTAAATTACAAATTTTTCAGTTTTGCCGATCTTCAACTTTTACATCTTTCAGTTTCTCGATTTTTAATTTTTCTATTTGCAATTTTTCCAGATTTCAGTATTAAATTTTTCAATTTTTCGATTTCTCAATTAGTCAATTTTTCGATTTTTTGGTTTTTTGGTTTCTTCAGTTTTTCGTTTTACAGATTTTTGAGTTTTAAATTCACCAAATTTTCTAATTTTCAGATCCTCGACTTTTCAATTTTTCATTTGCTCAGTTTTGAATTTTTCGTTTGAATTTTACCAATTTTCAATTATATTTTTTTTTTCAGATATTCAGTTTTTCGATTTCTTTTGTTTTCTGAATTTTCAGATTTTTCTGTGTTCAGTTTTTAGTTTTTAATTCATAATTTTTCCATTTTTGAACTTGGATATTTGATTTTTTTTTCAATTTTTCAGTTTCTCTGTTTTCCGATTTTTTAACTTTTGATTTTTCATCATTGGATTTTTTAATTTTTCAACTGGTAATATCGCGATTTGTCGCTTATATTTTTTTATTTTTAATTTTTCTTTTTTTTCTCGATTTTTAAATTCTTCGTTTCTTCAATTTATTTCAAATTTTTAATTTTTTCAAATTTTTTTCATTTAGTGTTTTTTTCGATTTTGAGTTTTTTGTTCCATCAGTTTTTCGATTTTTTTTTTTTTAATTACAAATTTTTCAGTTTTTCGAATTTTCAACTTCTACATCTTCCAGTTTCTCGATTTTTAATTTTTCTATTTGCAATTTTTCCAGATTTCAGTATTCAATTTTTCAATTTTTGAATTTTTGATTTTTTCGGTTTTTGAATCACCCTATTTTTCAATTTTTCAATTTTTCGATTTTAATTTTGTCACTTTTCAATTATGTATTAACTTTTTGAATTTTTCAATTTTTGATTCTGCGATGTGTGTTTTTCAATTTTTTCAAATACCTATTAAATTTTTGGATTCTTAATTTTTTGTTTATCCAATTTGTCGATGTGCAATTTTTTGAGTTTTAAATTTTTAAATTTTTCGAATGTTCAACTATCCAATTTTTCGATATGCAATTTCAGTGTCCAAAATAAACGCTATTTTAACTTTTAGTTTTCTCATATTTTTCAAGCTCGCAAATATAAAATACAGGGAGACTCATTAACACAGGAAAACTAAAAACTTTTTTTTTCATGGTAGGAGTCCCTTCGGCCGCCCTCGCCATAATGGGCCGCTTCGCCGTGAACATCTCCTACAACATAGGTCTCCAATACGCCGCCGAGCTCCTCCCCACAGTAGTCAGAGCCCAAGGGGTCGCCCTCATCCACATCATGGGCTACGTCGCCAGCATCCTCGCACCCTTCGTGGTCTACTTGGTACTTGTCCCCACCCCATTTTCTCGCCACTCACGCTTATTTTCCAGGCCAACGTGTCCGTGGACCTCCCCCTCCTGATTCTGGGGGTGTTGGGCGTCGTCGGCGGAATCCTAGCCCTCTTCTTGCCAGAAACCCTCGACCAAGAACTACCACAGACGTTACAAGATGGAGAGAACTTCGGAATCGGGCAAAAAATCTGGGACTTCCCTTGCATCAAGAAGAAGTGAGTATTTTTCACAGGGTGGACGTGTAATAAGTGGTTGTTTTAGGGATCCCGAGGTCGAAAGCGTCGGCGAATTCCGAAGGGCCCACTCGAGACGGTCTTCAGTCAGAGCTTCGATCCGCGGAGAGATCCGATCGAGTATGATCAACAGGGCGTCGGTCCGATCTAGGAAGTCTAGTTGTATTCCAGAAAACCAAATTGCCTAAAGTGACAGTATTCGAAGTCGTGATAATACATAAGTTTATGTATTGTAGATGGGTGTCCATCTGTTTGTCTGTGGTATTATTTTTACTAAGTATTTGTATATAATACTCACTGTAGATGTATAGTTGTTTTTTTTTTTTAATATTATTTTGTATAAATTATTATTGAAACAAGTTAGAGTTTTGAAAGAGTGCCTTTGGAGTGATGCTTGTATTGTAGGCTAGATGATGTTCAGATCTCTGTGAATTTGATCTGAAAAAATACGTTTTTTATAGTTTGATAACAAAAGTGTATTTTTAAAGTTCCTATATAATAAAACATTCAAATGCTTGTTACTTGTGTCTTTTTATGATAAAACTAGCTGACCCCGTGAACTTCGTTTCACCTACAATTTAATTTTGAATCTGCAAAATCGAATGCCTTGAAATCTTGCAGATGTTTTAAACATATGATAAGCATAATAAATTTTTATTCAAAATATATTTACTTATCCCTTCCAAAAAATTGATGACGTAAGCCCAAAATTTTGCCAAATGAATCCTATCTAAAATGTCCAAAATAGGATGAGACTATACTTGTGAATTATCATTCCATTCATATTTTTTAGTTTTGCTTATAGGGGGTGTCTCAAAAAAATTAATCACTGAGTCAATTTATTTTATTGATTGAACCAAGAATTGCAAAACTGAATTTTGAAATATTGCAGAGGTTTTGAAGTTACTGTTTGACATGGTAGGTTTTCAATCAAAATATATCTGTTTATCAAGCCCAAAAACTTGAAGACGTCATCTCAATATTTTGGCGAATAAATCCTATCTAAAATGTGGAAAATATCATCAGTATATTTTCGTAATTTATCACTGCATTCATATTTTTTAGATTTGCTTTTACAGTGACTCAAAAAAATATATGGATCAGTCAATTTATTTTAGTGAATAACTCAAGAGTTGCAAAAATGAATACTTTGAGATCTTGCAGACGTTTTAAAGTTATTGTAAGCATGGTAAATTGTTAAGAATATTTATTTATTCCCCCCCAAAAATTGATGGAATGGCTCACTCGATTTTCGCAGATAATTTTGGGAATACAATACAGTTATTTTTAGTATTACACTGCACCAATCCAAGGTGGTATATCTACGTGTTGATAGTAAATGTTGATTAGGTCATCACAAAATTGTGTGAAGAAAAGACTCAACTCGAAAATGCTGAATATGTTTCATTATACTTTTGGTGCGAAGGAAGTTCTGTCGAAACAACGTTCGATCAATTTTTTGACAATGGTTGATATAAATAAAACTCAGTAGATGCTCATACTCGAAATACGAAGTATCTACTCGAATATCAAATCAAAATATTTCTAGTTTTTCTAGATGATACTAATACTTCAGTAAGTAACAGTTGATGCTCAAGTAGCATCTCGATACAACAAAAAAGGACAACAGTGACAGTGTTCAACCAACAAGGCAAAAATCGAGTCACCAAAATATAAGTTAGTATGGGGTAGACACCTTGAGATGGGAATCTCTATGGCCAGTGTTAGTAAAAACGCACTGCACAATTTATGCATAAATAAAAGTTAATTACCTGAAAAGTTTTCGATATTCCTGCTCCTAATGTGTTTTTCAAACTGAATGCACCTTTTGACGACGTTCCACGTTCATGAAAGTCGCCATGTTTAGTTAAAATTCACTCTTACAACGATGTACTCGTTTTCTAAGCTGCTTTACAGACAGCTCAATTATTTGCCACGCCGATCCTCATTTTTAGATTAAATGCTCACAAAACGCGTAGATGTTCAATTTGTATCCGGGGAGATACAATGTTTCCAAGCAGGTACTCAGTACATAGAGTACTTCGTAATTCGAATATGAGTATCTACTCAGTTTTATTCATACCACCCAATGTCTCGCTTCAATGTTTGATTATGTTGATTTTGAGCACAACGCTGATCAACTTCCATGTCCGAATTACCCATGAAATAAATCATTGCGGTTTGCACCTGAGGTAGTTCGTCGCACATTTGATTGACTTCGTGGACCTATGTGAGGTGGTCGTCTTCTCGGCATTTTAATGAACTTCATAAAACGACACAGAATTATTTTCACAGTCAATCAAATCTGTAAATTTTGTCTTGAGAATTTTAAAATATTGAAAACTTGAAATTAAATCCTCGAATAACGGTAAAGTTTGAGGTTTTGTCGAAACCAACAAAGTGAATATAGGTAAATAGAATGCCAGATCAAAATTAATAAGAAACTTTCGCAATGTGTAATTAAATTCACTTTAACCAAGACTTTTCTTAAAATAAACGACGTTTTTTTTTTTAGGAATAAACAAAGAACGATTTGAAATGCAATATACTTTTCACAATTGCACGGAAGAATTAGTTTTGTATGACACGTCACGTGATACACGTCAGTTAGACGACAGGTTCGTCAGAAAAACCAACTATTAAAATTAATTCGAAGTGGCGATTCCCATACAAAATTTTTAGAATTTTTTTATTTTTTAACTGTTCTTTTAAGTTTTCCTTATTTTTTTTTTATTTATAAACCATCCCCGTAATATAAAAAAATGTTCAAATCGGTCAAGCCGTTTTTGAGTCTTAGCGAGACTAACAGGAACAGGAATTGATTTTTATTATATAGACGATTAAAAAATGGGGGTTGGTGGTAGAAAGGTGAAAATTTAGGGTTATGTGTATTTTTTGATGCCAATTCTTAAAAAAATAAAAATAAAAAATGTTGTCCAAAAAATAGACAAAAATTTTTTAGGGTGGGCCACCCTGATCACTTAGGGGTTTAAAAAATAGTTCACAACCTATTCTCAGAACTACCGAATATACATAAAAAATTTCTTACAAATCGGTCAACCCATTTCAGAGAAGTTCGGTTACAAACACTGTGACGCGAGAATTTTATACATAATGCATTATTATTTTAGAACAAATTTCATTACCATAAAAAAGGTTATACTGACTCGACCTTAAAAGATAGACATATGCTGTTGCGGACTTTTCTTTAGAACTTTTAGAGGGGAACAATTTCGTCATACATGATTTTTACGTAACTTTAACCGTTTAAGCAACGTAAGCAACGGAAGCTGTCAAAGGAGGAATAATTTTCCCGTTTTTCCGAATTTTTCATTGCTACTTCGCTCCTAATGATCATAGCGTGATGTTATATAGCCTATATGTATATATGACACATAGACTATCCAACACAAAAAGATTTTTTGAATTTGAACCAGTAGTTTCTGAGATTAACGTGTTCAAATAAACAAAAGCTTCAGCTTTATTATATAAGTATAGATATAAGTAGGATTTTCGAAAAAGTTAAAATAAGAAGAGTAAACCATGACTTTCGATTGATTAATCGAGAAAAATAATTGTCAGTGATAGTAATGAAGTGTTACGGATCCACCATAAACTTCAATTAAAAAGTTAGAGTGAATCGTCTTGTTAGTTTTATTTAATCAAGCAAAAAAATAATATAAATTAAATTTTAAAATCGAAATGAACTGTCGCAAAAACTGTAACCTTTTTATTGAGTATTGTTCCAATTTAGCTAAATTACTCATCGCCGTTCTTATAAAAAAGAGATTTTGGGTTTCCGAAACAGCAGTCGAGATGGTGAAAGCACTCCTAGTTTTTCTAAACGGTCTGGTGGCCCTCAGTGTTGCAAGTAAGTGTGCTTACATGGGGTTTTGATATTGAAAATGGACGATTTTTTTTCAACACTACTAGATGCCGCCCGGCGTGCCCCCTGGGGCAAATTTCTCAAAGACCAAGAGACTTCTGGTGATGTCGACTACGCTGTAAGTAGTGGCATTGCGCAAAATTTAGAACCATATTTTGTCCATTTTTTGATTTTTCAAGTGCTCGATTTTTTTACTATAATTCTACAGTTTTTACTTCCCGAGCGTAAGCAAAGGAAGTATTGTAATCGAGTCCGTCGGCCGACTCTCTACTTTTACGTTTTCTCGATCTTTCATGACCCCTAGAAGACGAAGAAATAGGTCTCCCATTTCCGTCTGTCTGTCCGTCTGTCCGTCTGTCCGTCTGTCCGTCTGTCCGTCTGTCCGTCTGTCCGTCTGTCCGTCTGTTGTCACGGATTTTTATTAGACAGATAATCTCCGAAAGTACTCGACCGATTGTTGTGAAATTTTGTACTTATATTAAGAATATCATGTAGATGGTAAAACGCTAACCAAAATTTGTCGAATCATCCCCACCACTAAAGCGATGACGTCACTTCAAAATTGTACATAGTAAATGGGTTTTCAATTGTATAAAATAACATAGTCCTACACATGTAGTTTACAACTCTGAATCGACTTTTCACCCGAAACGTCCAGATTTTTGGAAAAAAAATCAAAATTATAAAACAACATTTTGAAATTTAATTTTTAATCTGCTAACCAGAATGCTTTGAAATGTTGCAGATGTTTTAAGGCTATAAAGAGCATCATAAATCTTTAGCCAAAAAATATTTGCTTATCCCCTCCAAAAACTTGATGACGTCAGCTCAAAAGTTTGTGGAATAAATCATATCTAAAATGTACAAAATATGATGAGTCTGTACTTGTGAACTATCACTCCATTAATATTTTTTGGATTTGCATATACAGGGTGACTCAAAAAAATTAATGAATGCGTAAATATATTTTATTGATTTAATCAGGAACTACAAAACCGAATGCTCTGAAATCTTGCAGATGTTTTAAGGTCATAAAGAGCATAATAAATGTTTAGTCAAAATATATTTGCTTATCCCCTCCAAAAACTTGATGACGTCAGCTCGAAAGTTTGCCGAATAAATCATATCTAAAATGTACAAAATATGATGAGCCTGTACTTGTCATTTATCACTCCATTCATATTTTTTGGATTTGCATATACAGAGTGACTCAAAAAAATTAATGAATGCGTAAATTTATTTTATTGATTTAATCAGGAACTACAAAACCGAATGCTTTGAAATCTTGCAGATGTTTTAAGGTTATAAAGAGCATAATAAATTTTTAGTCAAAATATATTTGGTTATCTTCTACAAAAAACTGATGACGTCAGCTCAAAAGTTTTCCGAATAAATCGTATCTAAAATGTACAAAATATGATGAGTCTGTACTTGTGATTTATCATTCCATTCATATTTTTGGATTTGCATATGCAGGGTGACTCAAAAAAATTAATGAAGGCGTGAATTTATTTTATCGATTTAATCAGGAATTACAAAACCGAATGCTTTGAAATCTTGGGAATATTTTAAAGTTATTATAAGCATGGTAAACTTTTGTTCAAAATGTATTTGTTCATCCCTCCTAAAAAAATTGATGACGTCACCCTTAAATTTTGCTGAATAAATCCTATCTAAAATGCAAAAAATATGATGAGTTTGTACTTGTGATTTATCATTCCATTCATATTTTTTAGATTTTCTTAAGAGGTGGTTCAAAAAAATTAATGAAGTCAATTTATTTTATTGATTAAATTAAAGGCAACACTTATTATTAGTATTACACACCAACCAACCCAATTTGGTAGACACAAAATTTGTTAAAGGAAAAACTCGGTTGAAACATAAGGGTAGCACGCTTATTTACATCGACTTTAACATTACAGACCTGCATTTGTTTTATGCGTTCACTTGATTCCGCGAATGTGAAATAGACATGTTTATAATCAACCAATTGTGAATTTCACCGTCAAGAATTAAAATAAAACCCAATGTTTTATATAATAAGCGGAAGTCGAAGCAATAAAACCGACGGTCGTTTTGTTTACAGTTTCTGTGTTTGGCTCTCACGTATGCTGTTACGCCTGTCATCTTAAATTAACAATGTTTATACATACACGATTTTCAGTTGCCTGTGATACGTAGGTATACGTGAGTAAATTGTTTCGTTATTTTATTGATTATTACAAATCAATATTCAAACGACCCAATTCATTTTCCCGAAAATTTGAGAATATAATAATTTTATTCTTAGTATTACACTACATCTATCCCAACTGATATACGTGTCCTTGCAAAAATGTTGATGACGTCATCGCAATTTTTTTTTAAATTCCCACTACAAAAATGTAATGAGAAAAAAAACACAATAGGCATGCAGTCGTCAAGTTTCCGACAGCGAGGGAAGTACTGTCTAAACTCTTTAGACCAATTTTTCGAATTCACAATTAGGCTCAAAATTCCCCCACATTTAAAAAAATCCTATACCATAAGAAGCCTACCGGATTCTTATGGATCGATTTCTAGGTGGTTGTAAGTGTAACGCAGGCCGGGTTATGTAGCGGCTCCATTTTGAGCGAAACCTACGTCCTGACGGCAGCCCACTGCGTTCAGGACGCGCCCCCACGTCACATCACCATTCACTACGACATGGGGGCCGACATGGAGAACAGCATCAGAGTAAAAAGCGTCAAGATCCACCCCTACTACACCAAAGAACTACCCTTAAAAAACAACCTGGCAATACTAGAGGTACGCCTTGACCACACACAGACCCCTTGACCTTTTTTGACTTCGCAGCTAGAGAACTCCATTCCGCTCGGCAACGGCATCGGAGCCGTCACCCTGCCGGAGCTGTACGAGCCCACTGCTGCCAACGCCACCGCCATTTTGGCGGGCTTTGGCCATAGCCACGTAAGTCTCATTTTTGATGCTGGGAATCTACTGACTTTATCTCGGCTAGCATTTCGGGAGGATGGTGAAGAAGTTGCACGTCGGGAAGCTGAGAGTGTACCCTGACGAGGAGTGCGAAAAAATTTATGACATTGTAGACAAGGAGTACCACATTTGCGCTAGTGGACAATACGGCACGAAGGCGACCTGCAAGGTACAGGCGAGACGCTCTGGAGCACATTTTTCAAACTTTGGCTTTGTAGGGTGACCAAGGGGCACCGTTGGCTGTGAATGGGGTGCAGATTGGCTTGGTTTCGTGGGGGCCGAGCGTTTGTGGAGATCCGAATGTTACGGGTGTGTTTTCTAAACTTTCGAGTAACGTGGCGTGGATTAAATACATGATAGGAAACAAGAATGTGGAGCCTAGCTTTTATGATGACTGTGATTGCGAATGTGGCTGCCCCTAAAATTTAAATTACGAAAAATGTTGTTGTATTGAAAACATCAACAATAAATGAACACCAATATGCATTTTTTTTGTTTTTTTTTTCGCTCAAGCTAGACGACCATAAATAAATAATAACTGTCAATGTGTAAATTGACCAGCTAAATATGTAAAATTCGGTTTATGTAAATATATTTGGATTTTTCGTGTTGGCATTACACTTTATTTGACATTTATTTGGCCGTAAACGTCAAACTAACCAAAGAATTCGTTGTTGCCAACATTCCACAAATAAATTTCTACGCCTACTAGACGACAAAGAAAAGAAAATTTTAAATTTGTGGCCAACCTGACGAAAAGCTTGGTTTTGGATGTTTTACAACACGAATCGAATAATTTGCCGGTTAATTATGTCGCTTATACAATTTACTGGTAAATTTGCAATACTAGATTACTACGTACGGTGAGAGCAGAGAACATAGAGAAGCGTCATAGTTTAAATTAAATGACGGTTGAGGACTTCTCGATTTATGTTGGCAACAGTGTTTGTTTCTAACTAGGAATAAAATTAACTGCAATAGAAAAAATGTCATATAATATTTTTAACTTTTCAATTTTCAATTTACTCCTATTTATTATAAAATTTTTGGATTTTACAATTTCTCAATTTTTCAATTTCTCGGTTTTCAGTTTTTCTCTTCAATTTTACGATTTTTTAATTATTTCGATTTTTCAATTTTTGACTTTTATAAACTCTTTATTTGTCGATTTTTCAATTAATTGATTTTTCGGGTTTTTTGGTTTTTCGATTTTTCTATTTTTTCAGGTTCACTTTTTTGATTTTTCGATTTCTCAATTTTTCAATTTTTTTAATTTCTCAGTTTTCAGACATTTCAGTTTTGGGATTTTTCAGTTTACTTGTTATTCAATTTTTCGATCTTACGATTTTGCAGGTTTTTGATTTTTCAATTTTTCGATTTTTTAGATTCTCAGTTTTTGGATATTTCAGTTTCGGGATTTTTCAGTTTTTCGATTCGTCAGTTTTTCTTTCATTTTTCAGTTTTTCGATATTTCAGTTTTGGGATTTTTCAATATTTCTTTTCTTCGATTTTTCCATTTCTTACTTCTGCTGATCGATTTTTCGATTTTTTTTAAATTTTAGATTTCTCAATTTTTTGGTATTTTAATTTTTCAATACATATACAAAATTTTAGATTTTTCGATTTCTCAATTTTTCATTTCAGCTCTTCTTGAAATATTTGAAAAATGGAAATATGCATTTTTCAAATATTTCAATTTCTTAATCTTTCGATTTTTCGACTTACCGGTTTTAGATTTTCTGTTTTTCAATTGTCGTTTTTTCACATTTTCGATTTTTCAATTTTTCAAATCTGACATTTATAAACTGTCAATTTTTCAATTTTTCGATTTTTCAATTAATCGATGTTTTGATTTTCCCATTTCTTGACCTTCGCGTCTTTCGATTTTCCTGGTCTTTAGTTCTTTAATTTTTTGATTTTTCAGGTTTTTGATTTTTGAATTTTTCGATTTTTTAGGTTTCTATTTTTCGACTTCACTTTTTTGATTTTTCGATTTTTTAGGTTTCTATTTTTCGACTTCACTTTTTTGATTTTTCGATTTTTTGGTTTTTATATATTTCAGTTTTAGGATTTTTCAATATTTCAATTCTTTGGCTTTTCTGTTTTTGACTTATGGATTTTTCAATGTGTCTACCTTTTCAGTTTTTCGATTTTTCAATTTTTGAATTTTAAATTTTAGATTTTGCAATCTTTTGATATTTTAATTTTTCAGTATTTCTTAATCTTTCGATTTTTCGACTTCCTGGCTTTAGATGTTCTGCTTTTCAATTTTTCGATTTGTTAAATTTCATTCCCGATTTATCCAGATTTGATTGTTCAGGTTTTCGATTTATCAGTTTTTCAATTTTTTATTTTGGTCTATTTCGGTTTCCCAATTTTTCAACTTTCAACTTTTTGTTTTTCGATTTCTCTATTTTTCGATTTTTCGAGTTCATCACTTTTCGATTTCTCGTTCTTTTGATATTTCAATCTCTCAATTTTTTATTTTTTGAATTTTTAAGTTTTTTGATGTCTCGATTTATCGATATTTTCATTGTCAATTTCTCATTTTATAAATTATTCAATTTTTAACTTTTCTGTTTTTCGATTTTCCAGTTTTTCGATGTTTCGATTTTTCAGTTATCCGATTTTTTAAATGTGGGACTTTCGATTTCTCGATTTTTCGTTATTCGGTTTTTAAATTTTAGATTTTTGAATTTTAAATGTAAATAAAGAAATAAGTATTTTACAGTTAAGCTTCGCCGCCTTGGTTCACGGTGAATAAAAAAAATCATCAGAACTGAGATAGGGCGGGTGGGCGGTAGACTTATTTTCACAACATGAAATTTAAAACGTGTTTAAAATGGAAAATTTGTTTAAAGAAATAAAAACAAATCCATGTTTCCTTGCAAAAATGCACCATTCTAACCATGTTCTAAGTTTCTTGTTGTGAAAAAATGGCTATGTATATTAAAAACAAGCGGCAAAATATAAGCCCCGCCCACCCGCCCTATCTCAATTCTGATGATTTTTTTTATTCGTCGTAAACCGAGGGGCGAAGGTTAATTGTAAAATCCTTACTTTTCTAATTCTACCACAAATTACCATTAAGTAATCGTGTTGTACAACGAAACCTAAAACTCGGTTTATAGAAATTAAGGTCTGTTCATAGATAACGTACATGTTTTAACCAATCACGGGCTCATATTCCAAGTGTTTAATTCACTTTTCTATAAACCGGCCCTAGAAGTATTAATTAAAAAAGAAAACCAAAAGAGAAGCCCCACCCATCCGTCTCGATCTTAATCGTAATGAATTTTTCATTGGTTGTCAGACCGAGGGGAGGAGCGTAATTGCAAAATCGATATTTCTCTATACAAATTTATTGTTTTAAACGTGTTTTAAGTGTCCTGTTGTGAAAAGATACACATATTAAACAAAAGGCAACCTCAGTAATGGAAGTTCAGTAGTTTTGTAACAGTGTAGGAACTTACATGTCAACTATCAAGAAATCCCAATCACTCACCGGAACTACTGTAGTTCCAAAGGTCGTGAAGCGAATTAGCTTGTGTTATTAATCTATGATGCGCATAAGTTTTATGGACCTTGGGAATTATACAGAGTCATCAAAATTGATTGAGAGAGTTGGTAAACCTGAACTTGAATAATTTGGTTTATTAAGTTGTATAAAAATATTAGCTGTCAGATTTGAAGTTTCAAGTTTCAAATTTCAAAACTCAGTGGCGTCTTTTTTCGACTTTTTTTTGGTAAAAAGATTAGTTGTCAGATTTGAAGTTTCTAATTTTTGTCACGCCACTGAATTCATTGCCATATAACCTTAAACAAATCTGTCATAAGGTTGACAAACTTCACGACAAAAACACGGGGTACCAACTCTCTCAATCAATTTTGATGACCCTGTATAGCTGTATAACGAATTTACGCTATTAAAAGCCAGAATCAAAGCAAATAATAAATGTACAATGGAATGGTCCCCAAATTAAGTGCTTTATTAATAATCTTGTAACTGCCGTACCTAATTTATGTTCTTAAGATTGGTAGTCATTACAAATGTCACTGACAAATAAAAAATACAATAAATGTCAAAAAATTGAAAACTGTTTTTCGTAAGCAGACCGAGATTTATTCGGCAATAAATTCAGGATTCTACTTTGGGGAATTTCCCGTGTTTCAGCTAGTGAGTTTCGAAATAGAACTGGTGCAGTTTATGTTTTCAAGATTGGTAGTCACATAATTAATAAAATAAATAACTGGGGGCCGTACCAATCACGCCAAAATTCCCCAAAAGTAAAAAAATACAACTTTTATTTAAAAATAGACAAAGGTGCGAAGTAGAAAAAACAGCATCAATGAACTAATTCGTTTAGTTGAGGTTTTTTCTCCAAGACAATGACTGTTCAAACACTGCGATCTCCAACCCATACTACACCCCCATATCGTATCAGAAATCAAGGCGTAAAAAATCAATTAACCCACATGCAGAATTTCATTTTCATTTGTCCAGTCAGTCGGAATGATTGATATATTGACGAGATTTTGTCCTTTGTTGAAGTGAAGCCAGTCTGAGGATGGCTAGTCACTAACCGAAACCGGTCGTACAAATAGGTAAGTAACAAGATATCCTGCATATAAAGTTTCATGATTTTGTTGTTGCAACAAAAATAAATGTGTTCTTCTATTTTTTTTATTGATTAAAAATATCCTTTACCCCTTGGGAAATAACTCTGACGTCATGAATTGTCCGCTTCCAATATATGGTGTACATATTTATCTAGTTGACCTGGTCGTTGCTATTTTCCAAACATTTTACTTTGTACGTTCCTTATATCAGTACTAAATTGTCTCGGCTTTTTTTTTTTGGTGAGCCTTCTGTAATAATCTATAAACTTAAAAAAAAACAGTTGTACTGTTTTTGGAAAAACGGAAAACATGTAAATAAAATCACACTTTGCTTTAGGGAACTTTATGCAAATTTACAGAGAGTAAGTGACCAAAAACACAATTTTAAACACAACATTGAATCAGTGGAAGAAATTCCAAATTTTTTGATAAACCTCTTGGAAAAGCGGATTTCCACAATGATTCGTTGATGTGTCATCTCCAATCACGTGCTTTATCCACAGCACGTACGACGAAAGTTTAACAAACACACCAGGATACCCAGGAAGCCCACAAGGTTTCTTCGACCACGACACCACCCCGATTTGTACCTTCCCAAGAATCAAGGGACCCCCAGAATCCCCCTAGAACAACCAAAAATCGCACAAATCCAAAATTCGCCGCACCATTAATACTTTGCATTGCATTTTCCCCTCATCGGGCGAACCCGCGCAAATGTGATTCTCATTATTCACAGTACCATGGATTCTTTGGCAATCCTCGTCAGAGTACACCCGGATATCCACCGCCTGTAGGTCTATCACCATGCGACCAATATTCTAAAAAAAAAAAAAATAATTCTGGGTCGCACCACCCAACACCGAGACTCACAGACGTGCGCCCCCATCCAGTTAACACCGCCACCGCACCTGCGGGGGTCCTGTCATAAACTCCAGGCAAAACCACGGGTTGCACCCACCGAGAAAACACAATCGGTTGTTGAAGCTACAAATTTACAAAAACGGACTTTACTCCGTCGTAGTACGGGCGGTTTTTCAAAGAGGCGGCCGCTAGTTACAGTACCTCTAGAATTGAAAGATCGTTCTTTCTCGGGTTTTCGGGTTGGTAGTACGGGTGGATGATTACTTTTTTGACTAAAATCACGTTGGGAGCCATAGCGCCTATGGAGTTTTTTGTAGTGCCGTACTGGATGCTGAAGTTAGAAGCGGGCATCCCTCTAGAAAGAAACACTAAAAACGTCGTCACACAGTTATAGTTTACATTTAACCGAAAATCGTAGAAGCAGTGGCCCGCTGTGAGGACGAATCGGTTGTTCAAAATGGAACCGCCACACATGGACATGTGGTTTAATCGGATGACTACCTGGAATTGGGTTGGTGGCGTCTCGTGGTGTGTCAATAATGAAAAGTACTTACGGTGTGGCCGTATTGGCCTGCTGCGGCAGAAGTTCCGCCGAGAATTCGAGGCCCTACTGCTAATATATATATATAAAAAAAATAATAATAATAAGTAAATAAAACAACAAAAACAAAAATGAAACTAAATCGTACTTACATTGGGCAGCGGCCGTTGCGAGCATGCATGCAACTAACAGCTCGGTCAACATTTTGATTTAAGACACGATCATTAAATTGACTCCAGTTGTAAAGTCAGGTGTACAAAGGCGTAAAATGCATATTAGCAATTATTTCACGCAACACTTCATTTAAATCTTTTATTGTTGTGTTTCTATTAATCAATAATTGTTTAAATTGTTTATTGAAAAATTTTAGGACCGGGGCAAATTCGTCATGCTTCAGACGCAAGGGAGGTTTTTTTCACTAAATTTTCATTCTTTCGTTTGAAACAGATTTTACCACTGTCATTCACTGGACCAAAAAACACACTAAAACGGACACAAAAGGATTCATTTATATTTCACTCGAAAGAGACAATGGAGTATTAAATGTAGGTTTAAAGTACAAATTTAGTGCATAATCATAAACCAAGAAATTAGTGGATAAGCTTAAATTGATTTCGGGCAAAGGCGTAACACGTAGGTTTCAGTCGCCACCAACTTTTGTCCACGTTTTTTCAATTTCACTATAAAAGCACATTTTAATTTGAACTGCCACACAAAAAATAAAACCAACGCTCACTAAAATTTATAAGACGTTGCGCTTATACATTTGAAAGTTATTAGAGTCAAACGATTCTTGGATTTATTTCACATTCAACAATAACAATAAAATAACAAACGATTTATTGACTATATGCCTATTCACACACTATAAAAATATATGAGGTAGACCCAGCAACTAAAATTGACTCATGTTCGTGACGCCTTCTGAAAGTTGTACAACCTGGCGTTCATCAAATGTCGCAGACCAGAAACCAAAAAAAATCAAGTTTGTGGTTCCCTAAAAAAAATTTTGGTGCAGTTTTGTCGACGATGGTATATACTTAACTGTTAAAAATTGCTACATACATTGTAGATATAAATTGTGTCGTAATTTAGTGCATATTTTATGGGAATATTTCAAAATGATTAGTGTTTTCATGCCAACGGAGTTGTTTTGAATGTCATACGATAACATTATACGAGGTATATTACGGAATTCTTTGGCACAGCCTGCTACAATTCATTCAGGATGTAATTTAAGCTTACATTCGAATGCAGCTGTGATTCGTTTCAAACTGACACAATTCATAAATAATAAAACAAAAATTCTCAAAATTGCGTTTCACCTACGACACACCTCTCCAACCAAGAAAACGTAGGTGTACAAAAATCAATCAAAATCAATACAATGAGATTAAAGATAACAATGTGACCAAATTGTTATCAGTTTTACCACTTGATTGAACTGGGATAAACGAAAACTGATTGAATAATTTTTATTATTTGTAGATTTGTGTTTATTTTAATAGCAACATTTGCCTACTGCAAAATCCATGACATCAAGTCAGAAATTAACCAATACTTGGGTCTTCGTCGCAGCACATCCATACTTTATTTATTGTCAAAAGTACACTGCGTTACATAGAAACACCCTAGAATAACCCTACCGCTAAGCAAATATAAAAATGCAAAAGCAACAATAACCTTTATTAAGTATTAAATTCGAGTATGATTCAGTTCCCGACTGTGATATGTGATTACAGATTGTCGTAGTCTGGGGGCGAATTCTTCATCTTGATCTGCACGATCTTCCAGAACTTTTCCGGGCCGTGGTAAATCCCTTCGGCGGCTGGGACTTCTTTCATGGTTTTGCGCCACTTTCGCAAATGTGGGAACTGGTCGGCCTCGAAGGGCAATTGTTGGCCGAAGGCCAGAGCCACAGTCCCGGCCCTTTCGCCCCAGGGCCACAGCATGTAATCGACCTACAAAAAAAAAGCCGTGATGACTAATTAAATAAAGGGGAATGTCTACCATTCCTGGTTTGTCGCCTCCGAAGAATGGCGTTCCTCTGCAAACTAGTTCCTGTTCAAACACTTCTAGATGTGGGGCGAATTCGTTAGCCCACTCCTCTATGGGTTTGTCCTCTTGTTTTGAGATGCATCCATAGAAGAGAGCTGTGATTGGGCCTATTTTTTTGATGAGTTCTTGGTCCCGTTTTTTTGCTTCAGGGTCCTGCGGGTAAAGGGGGTTTTCTGGGTATTTTTCATCTAAATAGTCGGATATGTCGGTGCTTTCGACGAGGACTTCGGACCCGGTGTCTATGGCGGGGACTTTTCCTTAAAAAACAGGGCAACATACATATATTTTTCAAATTTATTTGATTAAAGTCTTATCGTGGAGTATCCAAAAACAGGTAGTTAAGAAAAACTTAAAGGTATGCAACCCATTATACAAGTCCAGCAACAATTTTTTCAAGTTTACTAGACCTTACAGTAAAAAGTACTAATATCTGAAGAACTATGAGTCAAACTTCTGTTTAAAGAAATCGTTTAATGGCAATTTTTACCCAAAATACCCCATTATTGCACAAAGAACGAAAATCAAGTTTGACTTGACTTTTAATATTAGGTGGGAAGTTTTTTGAACTCATAGATGGCGCCACAGCTGAAAGACTGAACTTTTGACCCTTGTCAAGCTAATTTAAGTTTGTTTAACTAGTGAAAAACCAGTCAAAATAAACATGAATTTTTCATCGTTAACACTGATTTATTTACGTTACGCCAATTTAATTGCACAAACAAGAGTTTTATTTTTATGTGGTAACTAGGGTCACCGCAGTGCGATAATATTGCCCAATTCAAACGAGTACGATAAGTTGAACTTATCGCACCACCGCAAAAATACATTATGCTAGACAACTAACTAAACTATTAATGAACATTCAAACCACACACTCTCAATTTCCACTCTTACCTTCCGGATGCACCTTAAAATACCAATCCGGCTTATTAATCAAATTGATATTGACAGTCTCAAATGGAATATTTTTGGCCCTCAAGACCAACCTAACCCTTTGCGCGTAAGGACAGTACTCCATCGAATAGAGACGCAGTTTCCCATCGACTTTGGGGGGCTGCTCGGACCCTAAAATCCACAAAACGTGAAACTAATTAAAAAAAAAGTTGACACGTACCGGTTGTCAAGTGTGGTTCAGGCATTCCGAGTTATTATAACAAACAAACCGTCGCTGTTTTCACTAACCGGTCAAACTAACAACGTGCTAAAAACGGTTGTTATTCAAGGACGCTATTTCGGCTGTTTGCAGCGAAGAAAATCGCGTTGGACGCACCGAATCGATTAGATAAAGTCGCACCTATGCCGGAAAAACACTGCCTTATTTGCCGTCTTTGTTGGGCGTGTGGAGGTGGCAAGGAATGGAGATAAAACAATAATTACTAAAAAAATGTGGAATGTTGCTAGGCCAGCTGGCCATCTTTTAAATTCGGGACGAACCAGAGAGGATCTGGGTGTAGCAAACTGCGCACAAAGAACGAGTTCAACTTCGTTTATAACTGAACTAATAACTGTATTTTCTAAATTTTTACTGTAATTATACAAAAATAGATCAGCTTCGATGCGTCTTCTTCAAAAAATGCGTCTTCAAATTCCTCATGATGGCGTCCCTTTGGAAGACCACTTCTCTTCGGCAAAACGACGACAGCACGGCTGGACACTGGTAAATTATGTTTTCTTCGCAAAAAGAGCCCTTGGAAGATGAATTTCCGTGCATAAATTTAAACTCGCTCTCTGAGTCAACTAGAAAATAGTTCTTAATGGGGTATTATTGTCTAAAAGTGACGAACTTCTTACGACAGAAAAATCCGAATAGTAGACACGTCTTGTGGACCGAATTTATCAAATAGACGTCTTTTTTGGCGTCCGCTTTTACGTTAAAATGCGCCACTGCCACGTTGTGAAGGTGTGGCCAGTGGGACAAGTACTCGGAGTACTGCGTTGAGTACTTCCAGTGGTCGTAGTTGCCGCTTTCCGTGAGAATGGTGAAGTCAGTTCTAAAAACGACAACAGAGGGCGCTAACTAGTAATTGCGCGATGCGCCATCTGTTGTTGAACAGCTAGCTCTTAAAACAACACTTACATTGTGGGGTTTAAAGTCTTCATGTTACTGAAATCGGCCACGAATTCCCACACTTCGTTCGGGTGCGTTTCCGACAAAAACACGCCCGCTTTGTGCTCGTAATTTTTTATCCGCACGGTTAAATACAGAACTAACAAGGAAATTACTATTCCCAGAGTCCGTCTGGACTTCCACTGTACTCTGGACATGTTCAAAGACTGTTTCCTGAAAAAAATACATAAAACATTGTCTGGCGAATCGAAACGACTTTATTTGAATTTAAAATTGGGTACATGGGACGCAACTCACCAGTGTAAATGCTGGAATAAATTTAGAAGTGTTTATTTATCTCCTGGAGGTTAGATAAACCAACGCAACACCCACGTCGTGAGGGACTCGGTTTTCGATTATTGGAGATCATGAAAGCTGAAAAATTGTCTGTGTGATGGGTCACTGACCTTTTGCTTACTATCACATATGGCCATACTTTTTATAAGTGTGTACATAATTTGTAAGATTTTGTTTCTACCACAAAAAAAAGAGGAGTGCATTGTAATATACAGGATGTCGCAATAAAAACCAGAAGTAAAACTCAATAGATGTCGCTCTGTAACAGCAAAAATCATAGATAAATAATACTACGTAAATAGAATGCAAACTCCCACTTGATTTTTGGTCTCAATAAACGCCCCCTGGTGCCTTGTGGCCGGTGCTAAAGCATGAACTACTAGATGCGTCATTGCTGCATATTTTATAATTAATATTTTATTTTTATTATCACTAATAATATCAAAAACACAAAGTAGAATAATATACAATTTATTAGTATTGTCTACGATTTTTTTACTTTAATTTTTTTTGGTACATTATACAAGCGTTTTGATATAATGCATTTTTATGTGTGGAAACTCTTGTATCGCGACCGCTTAAAATTAAATTCAAACCTTTTACAAACGTAAAAATTGTTAAATGTATAATTTTATTACATATTTCACTTTCAATTAATTCCTTATGTTCACAATGAAACGAAAATTTGACATGATGAGATACTATAAACGAAATTTTGTTTTTGATGTTGTCGAAAGATGTACAATTGTTTAAAACGATTCTTGAAATATTATAAATTCTGTTAATGTTTTTTATAAAATCTAACTTACAATATTGCAATTTTCTGTTATTACAATTGTATTCTCTTATACGTATTAATTTGTAACATTGTTCGTCTTCCGAAAAATTGTTTAAAATTTGGGTTTTACAATATTCACACTTCAAATTTCTTAATGTTTTCGCAACCTAGCCAGACACATAACCAACAATACTTTTATGAAGATCTTTTTCTAAATTATATGGAGACAGTTTTGAAATGTACATATTCACGTTTAAAATTTCGTAACTCGTTTCATTTACTGAAGGTTGATTTATGTTTTTATCCACAAGTCTTTTAATATGAAATAAATCCGGTATGTTCGTTTTCTCACAGTTTGCGCCCACTGAATTTGAACTATAAAAATTGCGTAATAATAGAGATTTGAAACTTTCCTTAAATTGGGCTGCCGTTAGATTAGTTGCTCGATTTCTTTGACTTCTGATTTTGCCAAAATAGTTTTCAATAACATATTGATTTAAACATCTAGGTAAAAAATATTTGCACCTGCCCTGTTCTACTAAAATTGTATGTAAATCCACAAAACCTTCTAACGTTGCAATCCAGTTTTTTATACACGGAGGTACTACCATTTTTCCGGCCTCATCGACGAAATACATATCACCCAAAATTTTGATAGCTTCCTTCCAAAAATGTTTATGACCAGAAGATTTAAATACGCCCCCAGAAAATGGTTTTCCGCACCGTGGTTGAAAAGTACTGCCATTTACACTGTCGAAGAGCTTGTCAAAAAATTTTATAATTCGTGCTGTTCCCATTGCCTCGTGTGTTAAACTGCATTCGGCTGTAAAATTAAATTGTAAATGAATCTGTTAATTATTTTTAAATTTGTATTTACTAGATTTAACCAATAGCGTAATAGTCGATGCCATTGATGAGTGACTCAAAACTTGTGTCGCTTAGCACACCTTCATCTTTTGAATTTTTTCCGGAATTACGTGGAGATCCGTAATTTTGTGTAGAGCCCGTAATTCTCCACATGTTTGATCACTGTAGTACGCATCGATTATATGTTTCCAATTTGCAACCAAAATTTCCTCGCTTGTTTTCCACACTAAATTTTTAGTAAGCAGATTGTTCCTAATACATTTAATTAAATGAGGCGTGTCATATAATGGAATAATTTCTTGATCCCCTAATAAAATTCTTCTTTTAGGTTCCATCCCTTTATGTATATAACGTTGTTTCGACTCCTTTAGCAGAGAATTTATAGCTGCTTGGTTTGGTTGGCCTTGATCACAAATTGTAACCAGAATTTTGAATCCACAATTTTGTATTTTTTCAATCAGAGTTTTTATAATAGTTGTCAATATGTAAGATTTTGTAGACGAAAAAGAAAATGCAAAGTATATTGGCTGTTGCCATTTTTTAAACACTCCGCGAATGAAAAAAACAAGAACATGATCTGCTATCTGTAAATTTTGTTCAAATCCAAAATTTTGAAATCCGAAAAATGTATCCGTATATTTGTCATAGTTTATGTGGGGCATTATGGACATTTCATCAAAAATTAATGCACATATTCTATCTTGGTTATTTAATTTTGAAGCAGATTCTTTAAGATTGTCGAAAATTATTTTGTTTATACCAACGTCTACTGGAATTTTGTTCAACATAGACATAATTGTTTGACGTGAAGGCAGTGCAAAAATCTGTCTCATTTTTCTATAACATCTCCCAGACTGTTTATAAAACATTAATGCAAATAATTTATCTTCAGTGGTAAACCTGCGACCCTTTGGTTTGACATTTCGTCTTTTTAATTGTGATAAACAAAAATTTATAGCATCCTGACTTAAAATTTTGCTTTCTAATTTTACTTCAAATTTGGAGTATAATTTCAATCGTTGGCGATACGAAGCTACCTTAATTTTGTTTCTACGGGCTGTACGCGAAATATTCCTAGAATTTGAATGTAAATTTAGTATTCGAGAAGATTCTTGGTTTAAAGTTTCGTTTAGGGTTTCTCTGGAATTTCGAGATACTTCAGTACAAAATTTTTGAGAATCCAGTATAGAAATAGGGTTTACGGGATCATGGGTGTGTCTTTCGGGGTCGTTCATATTATCTGAAATTATTGTAAAAATTATCTATGGCATTCACTTGCACACAAATATTTACCATGCATAATTTGAATTGTAGGAATGGCAGTATTTTTAAGTTTTTGATTGGGGCGAAAATCCGTTTCTTTAAAATGTACATCGCAAAGAAAATATCCATTTTTATATATTTTCGTGGGATCTAATTTGCCTAAATTTGGATTCCCTGTCCGTTCCAACCAAATTTTAAAACGCTCGTTGTATTTGTAGGGGTTGGGAAAACGATGGCGTTTAATAATTTTAGTGTTTAGACATTTCAAAACACTGCATAATAGTTTCATATTTTACGCTTTGTTATCACGTATAATCACACAAATGACACTTTTATACTAATCATAAATGACATTAGTTTTTTTATTGTTTCTTAAAATTGGCTGTGGAAGTTGTCGCCAAGTAATTTTTGGAAAAAAATACTTTACTGCTATCAGTGCTATCTCTTATTATGTGGCCGGTACATAAGCCTAGACACAAACCTGGGACACGCATTACAGCCGAGTTTGCATTCTATTTTACGTAGTATTATTTATCTATGGCAAAAATTCTTGGGGTAATTAGCGCCATCTAACATATGTCTGAAAAAACAAAGTAAGCGTCACAAATAAACTATGGCCTGAGGTTCGCCTTTAAATAAATAAGCATTTCAACGTTTATTAAAAATATGTAAAAGTAACATACTAAAAATTACATAAAACTTAATCTAAATCGGAAGAATCCTCCAGCTCCTGGTCGAAATCGCTATCCAGGTCTGAAAATTCGTGGTACATCAGCCCGTCATCTTCACCATCGCTCTCCTCGTCCGTTATATCCAGCTGAAGAAATTTCCTCTTCACTTCTTTCAACTGTGCATCCGGAATCTCGTAATGAATGTACCTCAACCTCTTCGAAGTCCCCGTCAACTGGACCCAATCCACCGCCTCCGCTTTACTCAAGAGCACCCTCACCTCTTGCCCCGACGCCCAATGCCGCTCCATCCCCACCGGTTTGTGCAGGATAAGTTTCAAGCCATACTTCTTGTCATCCAGCGTAGTACTACAAAAAAAAATATATACCAACCATCTACACAACCACCTAAAACCAACCTGAAAGTCAATATTTTCTTTCGAGTTAAGTTCACTTTGTAGTCCTCGACGCCGATAAGCTTGATTTTGAGCTTGACAGTGGTGTCAGTTTGCGACCAATAGACCTCTGGAGTTAAGTAAGGCGGCTGCTCAGTGGTCGGACTTGCGCATGCGTCGAGCGATTCGATTGGTGCCTGGTTGGTGTTGTACTCAACGGCTTGGTGCGACGGAGGCGACGTTAATTTTTGGAAGTCCGTGAAACCGAGCATCTACATATCAAAAAATAAAGAAAAAATTTCACCAATCCTATGCTATCTCACCTTAAAGAACTCTTCAGGGTCTTGAACTTCTAGGTCGAAATCGTCGTCGAGTAACTCATCCACGTCCTCTTGGACGTCGTCCACTTGAAGTTCGTCGTCCGACTCCGAATCCTCCACTTCCTGGGGTTTTGGTATCTCGAAATCGTAAATTTTGTCAAAAATTGAAATCGCGTAACCACAATCTAACAATAGTTGGTTAATCAAAACGTTTTTGTCGCTGTATCCGTCTTTCAACAACACGGAATATTTGACTTTTGTTCTAATCATATCTGAGTCATCTTTGCTTTCGTCGCTTACATACAACGAACGAAAAACGTCAGATTCTGGTTCTAGCATGTACTTGTAGAGGACATCAGTCGTTTCTTCGTCCCACTCCCCGAACGACGGACTCAACCCATACAAACGACACTGGATAGCTTGGAAAGGCAATTTCGTCAAAAACCCAGTCGGTAAAATTTTAATAGACGAAACATCGACGATTGCCTCATCACCGTAGTCGACATAAAACACCAAAACTTTGTCGTTTTCGGCATTCAAAACCTTCACTCTTGAGTAGGCTTTTCCTCGAGGGTCCGGAGCTAGATAATACTTGCCAATTTCGACCTTAAGAGTCTTGTCCGGGAATTCCGTTTCAACAGACCTTTGAATATCCTTCTCTAGATTTACAAGCCTAAACAAACCTAATTATTGTTAATTTTTAACAAACGACACACTTACAGAGGGTGAAATTTCGCCAAACGCACGTAAAACTCATCAGGTGAAACAATCGAGCTCAGAAACACCTCGTGGACGTTACCGTCCAGGAAGGCCCTCTGAGGTTCAGTGTCTTTCGTTTTGACCGGTTTTTTAGCGACCTGCCTGACGTAAGTTGGCAACACTAGATCACACCGTGTGCACAACTTATGCAAAGACGTGACTTGAGCTTTGCAGGGTTCTACCACCAGAAGGTTAATTAAGTGTCTGGTTAAATTAAATTTGACCACGTCAGTGCCGCCAACGTTAAAGATTTGCCCGACGTCGTCCAACCATAAGGTTCTGTCTAACTGTAGACAAATTGTTCCAGTTAGGAGTAGTTTCTTGTAGTTGTGATTTGCCAGAGAGGTGTGAGCGACGTAGAAAGATCTACCAGAGAAGTGTTCGTCGTGAAATGGCGGAATTAAGTTGCAGAAATATACGTCAACGACTGAAAAACATTTTTTTTTTTAATATATACACATGTAAACAAAAATTTCACTAAATCGCTCACTTTTAATACTTTCCGGTAGTTCAAACAACTTATTCTTGAATGTCTGCAACGTCAGTTCGGTTTGTAGCTTCACTTCCACTTTCTCCCTGTCAGTACTGACAACGTGACACAAAGTGTACACCTCCCCCTCTGTGGTGTAGTCGCAGTGAGCATAAAACCTCCCCACTTCGATCTTTTCCGGCCGCCTTTTCTCCTCATTTTCGGTATAGACGATCGGCTTTTTCAAATCGTCGTCGTTTATCTTCGTAGTTCGCCCCTCAAGATCCACGTGCTCGACCAATTGGACCGTGCACTGCGTAACGTCTTTCATGTTGAGTATCTTAAATCGAACTTTCCCGCTTTTGGGGAGATCGTCGGTCGTGTCGACTCCCTCCTTCACTAGATGGCGCTTCTGACATAGCGTGTTTGCGCACCTACCGAACAGCTTCAAACTCCCACAGAGATCGACGCCGAGGTCGATTTTCTCCAGCTCGCTTTTGGTGCGAAATCCCTACAAATGTGTTTAAATGGGGGACATAGTTAAGTTTAAGGACTTACGTCTGCGTAGGCTTGGTAGTTCGACGGGAAATCTTTGGTTAGGCGCCCGAGAAGGTTTAGAATTTTCGGCATTTGTTTCTCGCAAGTTTCGTCAATTAGGACGAAACTCTTGCAGCGAATTGCGTCCTGAATAATAAATGGGTTTTACTTTGTTTAAAAAGATTAATTGAAATTAGTTTGACATTACGTCAAAACTGTCAAACAATACCAACATTATTATTTTAAAAACAAATTCCATGGCTTACTTGAGTTGTTCTTGATTATGAATAAATACCTTATTTGGTTCCAAGGGGCTTTTATAATGGGTCGAAAGGGCGTTAAATCTCTTGGTGAACTTTGTCCAAGTTGTGGGGAACGAATAATGGATGAGCCACATTGCGTCATTCACGGACAGCAAAGAATCAAAGATAAAGTCAGTGCACAAAAGGACTGAAACAATTCGTCAGTTCTGGGTTTTTGTATTAAATATAACTCACCCTTATTCTGGCCACCTTTCATAAAAGACCACTCAGATTCACAGTATTGTATTTCTTCCACGCACGAATCGTCTGACAGCGCTATTGTATCAATACCTTTACGGACTAACCATTTATTAACTTCCATGATTTCCTCCTTATCACAGATAACAATAGTCCGATAAACGCTATACTCGTTTTTTAAAATTCCTGAAACAACCGTTTTTAACGAAACAAAAAGGTTAAAAATCCGACAGACCTTCCAAATATGCCAATTTTTGACTCTCCAGCAAAAATTTAACTTCAAGGTGAATATTCCCATAAAGCGCCGCCTCCAAACTATTTTCAATACAAACCAACGGAGTTTCATAAAGAGACTTCAGCAGTTTTTTTAAATCCGTTGTCCACTTGTCTGAAGCAACAATTAACTGAACTTTAACACTGTTAGGTCTGTGTTCGAGCATCTCATCAGTAACTTGTAGAATCTGATAAATAACGTCTTCACTATTTTTTAACAAAGCACTAGCGTCTTCCAACACCAGATGGCACAGTCTTTTCAAATTGAAAATTCGTCTTTTCAAACAGTGAGTCAGAGACTCAGGAATTGTTATTAAAATGTCGGTGCTATGCTGAAATTAAATTATGAAAAACGCATGATTTGAAAATATGTATAACTTACAACATTAGTGACGGGATATGTAACAATAGACACTTTTATTTTGGTTCTTGTGTTGCTGCACAACTTCCTGACTAGATCATAAATTTCCTCACACTGCTTGCTATTTGGACAGACGATAATGACCACAGGCCCCTTATGTTTGGCAAGTTCTTTATATTTCTCGTCATCTGCAGTACAAAATGAGCACACTGCAGGCAAATACGCTAGGGTTTTTCCAGATTGGTGCCCCCCTATCATGAAGACGTTCATCTGCCTGAAAAGCGCTGGCCACGCGAAAGACTGCAGTGGCACACTATACCTATAATTGAGAGTCTCCAACGAATTTTGAATATTTTTACTAAAGTAGCTCTCACTAGCTTTTTCAACAGGTTTTGGGATAACCTCACTAAAGCAAACACAAAAATTACAACTTATTAAATCAGGATTTTACCCTTACCCATGCACCAGCGTCCTAAAAGCAGTTTGTTTCTTAAATTTTGTCACTTCCTCAGGACTGTACACGTTTATTTTGGGTTTCTTCCCTGGATGTTTCTCCGAGCGCAGCAACGGCTGCAGGATTTTTTCGTGGGGGCTCTTCGCCCTAGTACCTTCGAATTTCAGCTGGTTTTCGGGGCACCAGTCAGCGCTGTTTATCCAGTGGTCGCAGGAAGGGCAGTCGCAGTGGGGCTTCACTATCATTCCTTCGTCCAGGGGGTCGGGATTGTATTTTTTGGCGTCTTTGTCAAAGGAGTCTTTTTCGGAAGCCATTGTTTGTGTTTCGCGGCGTAAAGAGAAAAACGTGGTTCAAACACGGTTTGTTTTGGTTTGGAAAATAATAAGAGGGAAATGACATTTGGCAAGGTCGACAACTCTTATCAATGCAAAAAAAAAAATCACTAAATTAGTTTTGAGAATTTTGTTAATATCTATATTTTAATCTTAAACAACTATAAGTGCAAATCGCTCTTTCTATCTGTACGTTTTTCTTCAGTTTCTAATCAAAGAAAACTAGGAAAAACAACAAAAATTCAAACTTTCGTTAGGGGGATAATTTTCATTAGGTTGGCTGAACCCATCTAACCAAAATCTAACCTACATTCCATTGATTACTTTAACCTCGCAACTTGTTTTTAAACAAAAACATTAACATGTTCATATTAGCAGAAATGAAAAATGTGACCCGGATCCCTCCCGAGCTATTTAACTTAAAACTAAACGATGCCATCGCCGGTGAACTGAACAAAAAACTAGCCAACAAGGTGAGTTCGAACCACACCACTTTCAAATTCTTTAAAAACGTCATAGATTGTGCTCAACGTGGGCCTGTGCATCGCTTTATACGACATTACGAGCCTGCAAGAGTCCTACATTTTCCCGGGTGACGGGGCCTCCCACACCAGAGTCAGCTTCAGGTACATCGTGTTTCGCCCCTTCATCGAGGAAATTCTCATCGGGAAAATCAGAAGTTGCAGCCAGGAAGGCGTCCACGGTTGTATTAATCGTCGCGTTTGATTAGTTTTAATTTTCGTGGTTACAGTGTCTTTGGGTTTTTTTGACGACATTTTAATACCTCCGAGCGCCCTGCAGCACCCTTCTACGTTTAACGAAACGGAGCAGGCGTGGGTGTGGGAGTACGACACGGGTGACGGTAACAAGCACGACCTTTTTATGGATGCCGGAGAAACGATAAGATTTCGAGTGACGGCGGAATTTTTCAATGAGACGTGCCCCACTGGAACGTTGCAGGAAACGCACGAGAAAGCCGAAAATAAAGTTCCTTATAGTTTAACGGTGCGTGAAAACGTCTAAATTGTCAAATAATTTTATTTTTAATTTTTTTAGGGTAGCATAAATGAACCAGGTTTGGGGTTGTTGTCGTGGTGGGACACCTGATGAACAGGTATTTATTGTTTTTTATTGTTGAGAGTATTATTAGTGGTAATAAAAAAAATACGGGGGTTTATAAAATATCTTTATAATTTATTTGCGAAACATAGTCTTATGTACACCACATTAACTAATTAAACCTATCATAATACCCAATCAAACGTACGAGACAAGTGACGAACAATATCAAGAAACTAAGAACGAAATGGGGAATTTTATTTGAAATCATCGAGGATCGAGTGTTATTGCACAATCTAGTATCAAATATAACAAGTGGACTGGTGGTGATTCGCTTATTCTATAACGAGGCAACGTGGAAGATGTTCTCTCAAATAGTCGAAAAGTTCTTTTGATGCCCCTGGACAATTCGTTAGTTCTAGTTCTCGCATATGCCTTAATTGAATCAGACTTGATAAACCGCTACAGGTTAATAGTGGACACCCTGAAATCACAATTATTACAACATTGATTCGTTCTGCATTATGTGCCGCCTTTTACAAAAAACACTCGTACTATTATGTCACTATATACCTGCTAATGACAATATTTGCAAGTTCCTCATTCCACATAAATGTTGAAGTCCAAAGTCCCTAATTTGTGAACACCAGCGTAGATACAGTGCAGAGAGAGATAACATTGTAGAGATGTATCCAATGCCTATATCGGTAATGTGAACGCACCTGCAAGCCGAAAAAATCATATAAACCGTTTGACTTAAGTCAAATCGACGTAAGAACCGGCTTACCGATCTAAAGTAAGCTCTTCTAATTGGTTGAGATCACACGCTATATACTCCAAGGCAGAATCGGTGATACGGGGACACCACGACAGGTCCAACGATCGCAGTTTCTGCAGATTCTCGGCGATAAGTTCGACCCCGTCGTCGGTGATCTTGCTGCATCCCGATAAGCTGAGTATCGTGAGATTCGGTAAAGAGTGAACTGGAACGAATCGATATTGAGGATTGGGGATTTATTTGCTTTTCAGGCAGTTTCAGGCCCTTATCTAAATATGTACATTTTATCCAACACAGGTTCTTAGCATAGATTAATTTCCGCACTCGTGGCGACCAATCGCAATGAAGCATAGCGGTGTCGATGTCAAACTGACGCAAATTCGGATGTTTTGCTTTGGTGTTTGTTTGTAGTTTGTGGTGTGAGCATTTTTTTATATGGAGCGATTTTTGGATTTTTCAACTTTTGAATTTTCGATTTGTCGTTTTTTCAATTTTTTTTCAGTTGCAATAATTTTCCCTGTGTTGAAAAATAAAGAAACTGAAAAAATCGGGAAATTGAAAAATTAATAATTAAAAAATGGAATCATTATAAAATCGAAGAATTATAAAACTGAAAAATCGGATAATTGTAAATTCGAAAAGTTGGAAAATGTAAAGTTCAAAAATTCAAATATTCAAAAGTGGAAGAATCGAAAAATTGAAAAATTAAAGTCGGGAAATTGAAAAATGGAATAATTCTGGAAGCGAACAATTGAAAGTTCTAAAACTGAAAACTTGAAAAATCGAATACTTCCTAAATTAAAAATTCGAAAAATCGCAAAAATGGAAATTTTAAATCTGAAATAAATAAGTAAAAAAACATAATAGTGAAAAATCAAAAGTCGAAAAATAGAAAAATCAAAAACTGAAATTTCAAAGAATTGAATAATCAAAATACTGACCAATCGAAAATACAAAAGTTGAACAATCGAATAAATGAAACATTGGAAATCGAGAAATTGAAATTAATTCAAAATTGAAAAATTGGTAAAAATCAAACATTAAAAAATGCAAATAAAGAACTGTAAAATTAAAAATCGAATAATAATTGTAAGATCGAAAAAAGTTAAATTGAAAACCCCAAAAATTTAAATTGAAAAGAGAAAATTCAAAATTCAAAACGGAAAAATTTAAAAATGAGAAATCCAGAAACTGAAATATCAATCGAAAAACCGAGGAATCTAAAAATTCGTAAATCGAAAAACTCAAAAATTAAAAGAAAAATTAAAAATGAACTCAAAACCGAAAAACTGAGATACTGAGAAATTGAAAATCGAAACATTGAGAAATCGTAAAATTGTAAAATTGAAAAATCGAAAAACTGCAGAAATGAAAAATCGAGACATTGAAAAATGAAATTTTGAAAATTAGAAACTTAAAAATTGAAACTTTGATAAATCGAAAAATTGCAAAGTTACAAAGTTAAAGTCCAGAAATTCAAAATTCGATTAATTATTCTAAACTCGAAAAACTGAAAAAACGAAAAACTGAAAACTTGAAAAATCCAAAAACTAAAAAATTGTAAAATTACGTGAAATCGTAATATCAAAAATCCTCCACAACTGAAAAAATGAAAAATCGTAAAATTGACAAATCGATAAATTTAAAAATTGAAAAATCGAATAATTGAAAAATTAAAAATTTTGAAAGTGAAAAATTAAAATCAAGAAGTTGCAAAACTGAAATCGAAATATCCAAAAATTGAAAATTCTAAAACTGAAAATTTAAACTTAAAATTAAAAATGGAAAAACTGATAAAACGATAAATTCAAAAATTCAAAAATTGAATAATTGAAAAATTAAAAATTCAGAAACCAAAAAATTGCTAAATTGTATAATTAAAATTCGAAAAATTGAAAAATCAAAAATTGAAAGTTTGAAAAATTGAAAAATTAAAAATCCAGTAACCGAATAATTGCAAAATTGTAAAATTAAAAATCGAAAAATTGAAAAATGAAATTAAAAAATCAAAAATTGAAAAATTGAGAAATTGAAAAATTGTAAAATTGAAAAATTAAAGTTGAGAAATTGAAAAATCGATTAATTACACAATTAAAAAATTGAAAAAATGAAAAATAGAAGATTGTAATACTTGAAAAATCCAAAAACTGAAAAATCGAAAAATTGATAAATTGATAAATTTCAAAACTGAAGAATCGAATAATTGACAAATTGAAATTTAAAGTTGAGAAATTAAAAAAATTGAAAAATCGAAAAATTGAAAATTGTAAAACTGAAAACCTGAAAAATCCAAAAACTGAAACATCAAAAAATTGACAAATCGATAAATTAAAAAATTGAAGAATCGAATAATTCAAATATTAAAAATTGTGAAACTGAAAAATTAAAATAAAAAAATTGCAAAACTGTGAAATCGAAAAATCCAAAAATTGAAAATTCGAAAACTGAAAATTTGAACTTCAAATTAAAATCGAAAAATTGTAAAATTGAAAATGGCAAAACTGTAAAACTGAAAAAAAAATTAAAAATACTCAAACTGAAAATTTCAAAAACTGAAAACTGAAAAATCGGAGAAGACACAAAATATTAATTAATCGATAAATTCAAAAACTGAAGAATCGAAAAATTGAAATTTGTAAAATTGTAAAATTGAAATTTAAAGTTCAGAAATTAAAAAAATTGAAAAAACGAAAAATTGAAAATTGTAAAACTAAAAACCTGAAAAATCCAAAAACTGAAACATCAAAAAATTGACAAATCGATAAATTAAAAAATTGAAGAATCGAATAATTCAAATATTAAAAATTGTGAAACTGAAAAATTAAAATCAAAAAATTGCAAAACTGTGAAATCGAAAAATCCAAAAATTGAAAATTCGAAAACTGAAAATTTGAACTTCAAATTAAAATCGAAAAATTGTAAAATTGAAAATGGCAAAACTGTAAAACTGAAAAAAAAATTAAAAATACTCAAACTGAAAATTTCAAAAACTGAAAACTGAAAAATCGGAGAAGACACAAAATATTAATTAATCGATAATTTCAAAAACTGAAGAAACGAAAAATTGAAATTTGTAAAATTGTAAAATTGAAATTTAAAGTTGAGAAATTAAAAAAATTGAAAAAACGAAAAATTGAAAATTGTAAAACTGAAAACCTGAAAAATCCAAAAACTGAAACATCAAAAAATTGACAAATCGATAAATTAAAAAATTGAAGAATCGAATAATTCAAAAATTAAAAATTGTGAAACTGAAAAATTAAAATAAAAAAATTGCGAAACTGTGAAATCGAAAAATCCAAAAATTGAAAATTCGAAAACTGAAAATCTGAACTTCAAATTAAAATCGAAAAATTGTAAAATTGAAAATGGCAAAACTGTAAAACTGAAAAAAAAAATTAAAAATACTCAAACTGAAAATTTCAAAAACTGAAAACTGAAAAATCGGAGAAGACACAAAATATTAATTAATCGATAAATTCAAAAACTGAAGAATCGAATAATTGAAAATTTGAAATTTAAAGTTGAGAAATAAAAAAAATGGAAAAAGCGAAAAATTGAAAATTGTAAAACTGAAAACCTGAAAAATCCAAAAACTGAAACATCAAAAAATTGACAAATCGATAAATTAAAAAATTGAAGAATCGAATAATTCAAAAATTAAAAATTGTGAAACTGAAAAATTAAAAATCCAAAAATTGAAAATTCTAAAACTGAAAATTTGAACTTCAAATTAAAATCGAAAAATTGTAAAATTGAAAATGGCGAAACTGTAAAACTAAAAAAAAAATCAAAAATACTGAAACTGAAAATTTCAAAAACTGAAAACTGAAAAATCGGAGAAGACACAAAATATTAATTAATCGATAAATTCAAAAACTGAAGAATCGAATAATCGAAAAATTAAAAATTCAGAAACCGAAAAATTGCAAAATTGTAAAATTAAAAATCGAAAAACTGAAAAATGAAATTAAAAAATCAAAGAAAAGTTGTAAATTTGAGAAATTGAAAAATCAGATAATTGAAAATCAGAAATTGAACATTTGAAAAATTAAAGTTGAGAAATTGAAAAATCGATTAATTCCACAATCAAAAAATTGAAAAAATGAAAAATTGAAGATTGTATTACTGAAAACCTGAAAAATCTAAAAACTGAAAAATTGATAAATAGATAAATTTAAAAATTGAAAATTCGAATAATTGAAGAATTAAAAATTGTAAAATGAAAAATTGAAATTGAGAAATAAAAAAAATCGACTAATTCTAAAATTAAAAATCGAAAAATTGAAAAATAAAATTAAAAAATCGAAAAAAAGTTGTAAATTTTCTGAACTGAAACTCGGATAATTGAAAAATCGAAAAACTGGTAAAAATTAAAGTTGAGAAATTGAAAAATCGATGAATTCCAAAATTAAAAATTTTTAAAATGAAAAATTGTAGATTGCACTGAAAACTTGAAAAATCTAAAAACTGAAAAATTGAAAAGTCCAAAAATTGAACAAATGAAAGATTGTGAAATTGAAAAATCGAAAAATTGTAAAAACAAAAATTGGAAAATTGAAAATCGGATAAATGTCAAATCAAAAACTTGCAACGCTGTAAAATTGAAAAATAAAAAAAATGAAAAAATGAAAAATTGAAAATTTAAAACTGAAAATTCAAATTTAAAATTAATTAAATCGAAAAATCGGACAATTACACTATCGAGAAACTGAAAATTTTAAAACTGAAAACTTGCAAAACTGAAAAATCAAAAGAAAAATCGGAAGTTGATTCAAAATCGAAAAATGAAAAATCCAAAAACCGAAAAATTGAAAAATCAAAATAATTGAGAAATCGAAAAATTGAAAAATTAGAAGTTCGAAAAATTGAACATCATATGAACACGATAAAAGTAACAACATTGCAATATGACCACGTGTGCGGAATTAACTATTTCTAAGACTCTTCATCGACGACAAACTAGTCCAAGACCCAACCAGTTTGCCTTCGAACCATCCGCGCTCACCCAATTTTTCTACACACCAACACATTATTTACCCTTACCTATATTTACAACCCCGTGATTAGTAATTTCCCAACAAGAGTGCAGTCTGAGTATATTGAGTGAGTTGCTTTGTTTTGGCGAGAAGTAACCCAAAGCGGCGTCTGTAACGTGATAGGCCTGGAGGGAAAACTCGTACAATGCAGGGAGCAATTGAGCGACGGCGCCTACAGCTTCGTCTGCGACATTTATGCAGTCACTCAGAGTCAGCGATACTATTCGAGGGTTGAGACAGGCCCATAATCCCGCTTCGGTTATTTCATTACATCCCGCTAGTTCGAGCTCGTAGAGCGCCTGAAACGAGAGGGAAATTAGGTGCCGGAGGTGAATAACGAAGATTGTAGTTTGGATTGGTGGCAGCGTCCGAGTTCACTTTTAGTCCCTAACTAATTGTCGACTTTGCATCACGTGACTAGAAAAATGAGATTGTCGGAAGATTCCGCCAGGTTACGTAACGCTAGAGTGGCGAAGGGGAGATTGGAGAGGTTGATTTGAATACTAGTCAAAGGGAGGGATTTTTCTTTTTAAGTAGGTCACTCTGGAATAAACATGGCAGTTATATAAACAAATTAGTAGTGAACATTTTTCTTTTCCACGTCGTAAGAAAACATGCGATTGAAGTAAATTTGATATATGTATCGTGTGAGAACTGTTAATTATGTAAAAATTTTCTTGCAAAAAAATCAATATCATTTACATATTTAACAAAGATTGTCATCGGTAATGAATGCGTATTTCATATAATGAACATTTTATGTTTTAATCGTTAACTGAAGCTAAAACGTGGAAATTTGCCCAACTGTGTACTGTTGGTTGCATACAGAGTTAAAATGAACACGTGTGCTGTGTATTGTTGGTTGCATACTACATTATTCAACGATCGAGAAATATCGTGTTAATTTGAATTTCATTTTTAAATAATCAGTATCTATGTTTCTAAATCTCTTTTAACATAATTTAGATAATGAACGTATTGTAGTTTAATTTTAAAATCAAATAAAAATGTATTTGTCTGGTCATGTATTTTTGGTTGCATACTACACGTTAAAATTATCAACGTTGATTTGTATTTTTCGTGTAAAATCAACCAAACCGTCCCTCCTTTACGACAAAACGCCGAATAAACACCAGATCGACCGTAAAGATAGTGAATCGAAATAGCGTGAAAATCAGATTCCTTTTATCTCAGCAAAATCGCGAGCAATTTCCTCCAGATTATTCTCTCGAACCGATAAGAAATTTGCCTCGCGCGGAAAAATTCGCTCCATCTTTCTGTTTACGCAATCAAAGGAGAAATTCTTCTCGATTTTTAAGCCCCCGATTCCAAATTAACCGGGGACTTTTCATTAGAATATTAAATCTCCGGGAAGCTCCGATCTTTTTAATCTTCATTTTCGCGTTGCCTTGTTTTAATTAATTTCCATCGGAATATTTGATACGTCTCGGAGTAACGAGTTAGGTAAATATACCCGTTAAGGGTAATAGCCCGCGGAAATTGAGCTGAAATCCTCCCGGCTTGATAAAATGCTTTATTACTTTGAACGGAATCGATAGACTTGAAGGTCGGTATGTGTAAGGCTTATTTTAAATATCTTGGTGCTATCGCCTAGTTGTCCTAGTTATTTTCGTCAAATCGAACTTGTAATAGCGTCTGGTGATTTTTTTGTTTTTCAATTTATAGCAGCGCGAAAACAGAATCATTTGTTTCAGCTGTGTGTTTATTGGCAGTCACGTTTGACAGGGTCGTGAAAAATGTCCATAAAAAAATAAACTTGATGTATTACCTATACACAACCGGTTCCACATTTATCTTCCGAAAAACGTGATGTGTGTTGCCTATAAGTCGGGGGTTAGTCGCATACGTGTTTTTTTTTTTTTGGCTCGAGGCAAATTCACTTCGGATGGGTTGAGCTTAACTGAATTCACAAATTACTTCATTTAATGAAGATCCCCCTCTCTTTTGGCACAAAGATGCTATAAAATATGATTATCCAAACCATTGAGATTTGAAAGGGTTGGATTACTTTGTGAAATGTGATAAGCCAGATAATTTGGGACAAATTTTGTTACAAAGGGGAAGTAAGAGTGTGTATTCTAGGGCAGTGGAGTGGAAGTTATACTTATTATGTTGCGTAATGCGGGGGTTTGACGTTTTCTTTGTACTGTATCGAGTGAAGTTTAAAAATTTTTAAAACGCGGATGAAAATGTCGAATTTCGCCTCGTTTGGAAATTAACCGGCTTCTGTTGAAATAAAATCTTTATGGTTTATTATTTGACATAAATCCGGCACGTTTCCAGTTCTTTGCACAGTATCTAATGCCTTTTCTTCTGCGGCGTTAGTTTCGTCATCGTGACATACTGCGACAGAGCAGGATAAAGCTCCTGATTTAAGGAAGGAAAAGCCGCGTTCTTTTATCCCGAGTCTTCGATTTGCCGTGGATTTATAAACAGGAATTTTAACGCAAAGAAAAATCACTAACTAAGCGATCTCGAACTCGTCTTAATTGGCTGTTTTCGGATCTAATTAACATCGACTCTGTCGGTTTAGATTACGAATGGAAGAAAAACTTCGCAAAAGGTGATCGTAAAGGTTAAAAAGCGTTGCGATGGAAACTGGAAATCGAATCTAAATTAAATGCTTCAATGATTAATATTCATTGGGAGTTTGAGTTTAGTTGTACAACATTCACAATTTGAAATTTATTTAACTTGAATTTAAGTATCATCAATCCAATCATTCAAAAATAGAAAATATTCAAAAAATAAAAAAAAACAAAATCAAAGAATTTAAGAAATCCGAAAAACTAAAAATTCCAAGAAACCCGAGAAACTCAAAAAACTCGAGATATCCAATAATTCTAAACATCAAAAAAATCGAATATGTGCGAAAAAACAAAAAATCAGAAAATTAAACAAAAAATCTAATAAACTAAACAATCCAAAAGTGGAAAATATCTAAAATATCCAAGAAATACAAGAAACCTAAGAAGATCTCGAAATCCATTATCCCAAAAAAACGAAAGTGTCAAAAAATTTAAAAAATAAAAAATCAAAGAAATTAAGTATTTCAAAGTCCAAGAAACTCGAAAAACTCAAGACATCCAATAATTCCAAAAATTGAAAATATTCAGAAAATCCAACAAATCCATAAAAATCCGAGGAATACAAAAAATCCAAGGAATGCAAGACACCCAAAAAATTCTGGAAATGCATTATTTCAAAAAATCCAAAGTATCAAAAAAAAATTTAAGAATTTAAGACATCTAAAAAGTCCAAGAAACTCAAAAAACTCAGGAAATCCAATAATCCAAAAATCGAAAATATTAAAAAAAAAAAAATAAGATCCAAGAATTTAAGAAATCAAAAAACCCGGGAAACTCGAAGAATTCGAGAAATTCAATAATTTCACACAACAAAAAGAATCGAATATGTCCCCAAAAATCAGAAAATTAAAAACAAAAAATCTGAAAAACCAAAAAATCCAAAAATGGAAAATACCTAAGAAAACAAGAAATACAAAAAACCCAAGAAAATCTCCAAATCCATTAATCAAAAAACCGAAAGTATTAAAAAATCAAAGAAACTCAAAAAAATCAGGAAATCCAATAATTCCAAAAATTGAAAATATCCAGAAAATTCAACAAATCGATAAAAGTCCTAGGACCCAAAAAATCGAAGAAATGCAAGAAACCCAAAAAATGTTGGAAATGCATTATTCCAAAAAATCTAAAGTATCAAAAAAAAAACAAAAAAATTAAGAATCTAATAAATCCAAAAAGTCCAAGAAATTCAAAAAAACTTAAGAAAACCAGTAATTCCTGAAATCGAGAATATCCAAAACATCCAAAAAAATCCGAGAAATCCGAAAATTCTAAAAACCCAAGAAATTCAGGAAATCCAATAATCCAAAAATCGAAAATGTCAAAAAAAATAGAATCAAAGCATTTAAGAAATCCAAAAACCCGATAAACTCAAAAAACTGGAGAAATCCAATAATTCCAAACATCAAGAAACGTATAATAAGTCCCTAAATATCAAGAATCAGAAAATTTAAGTAAGCATCATGAAATCAGGAAATCCAATAATTCAAAAGTCTAAAATATTCAAAAAATTAAAAAAAAAAGTGAAAATCAAAGAATTTAAGAAATTCAAAAACTACAAATTCCAAGAAACCCGAAAAACTCAAAAAACTCGAGAAATCCAATAATTCCAAACATCCAAAGGATCGAATACATATGTGGGAAAAACCAAAAATCAGAAAATGAAAAACAAAAAGTAGGAATTATTAGGAACCAGAAAAAAGAATAAAACGAGAAATCTAAAAATCCAAAAAATCCAAAATGGAAGATATCCAAAAAATCCAAGAAAGATAAGTAAAAAGAAATTCTGGAAATCCATTGTTTCAAAAAATTGAAAGTGTCAAAAATTAAAAAAAAAAACAAAAAATTAAAGAATTTAAGAATTCGAAAGTCCAAGAAACTCAAAAAACTGAAGAAATCCAATAATTCCAAAAATTTTGAATATATCCAGAAAATCCCACAAATCCATAAAAAGGCGAGGAATCAAAAAATTGAAGTAATGCAAGAAACCGAAAAAATTCTGGAAATGCATTATTCCAAAAAATCTAAGGTATCAAAAAAAAAAGAAAAAAAAATTAACAATTTAAGAACTCTAAAATGTCCAAGAAACTCAAAAAACTCAAGAAAACCAGTAATTCCTGAAATCGAAAATATTCACAAAATCCGAAACATCAAAAAAAATCCGAGGAATCCGAAAATTAAAAAAATCCAAGAAACTGAGGAAATTCGATAATCCAAAAATCGAAAATATTAAAAAAAAAGTTAAAATCAAAGAAACTGAGGAATCCAAAAACCCGAGAAACTAAAAAATCTTGAGAAATCCAATAATTCCAAACATCAAAAAAATCGAGTAAGTCCCTAAAAATCAAGAAACAGAAAATCAAAAACAAAAGTCGAGAATATTCAAAACATAAAAAAATGAAAATCTAAAAATTTAAGAAATCCGAAAAACTAAAAATTTCAAGAAACCCGAGAAACTCAAAAAACTCGAGAATTCCAATAATTTCAAACACCAAAAAATCGAACAACTCTCTAAAAATCAAAAATCAGAAAATTAAAAACGAAAAAATAGAAATTGTATAAAATGTTTAAATTTAAGTAAGCATCATGAAATCAGGAAATCCAATTATCCAAAAACCAAAAATATTAAAAAATCAAAACAAAAATTAAAATCAAAGAATTTAAGAAATCCAAAAACCCGAGACACTAAAAAA